CAAAATGAAAGGGCTCTTGAGGAAGGAATTATAATTTGTCTCTCACCAGTTAAAAGAAAATGAATGTTTGCTTTAAGCAGCAGTCGGGACTCAACGCTTGCAGGCACACTGTTTGTGTATGTGCATGTGTGTGTTTAAGCTGAGCGCGGGGGGATGTGGCGCGTGTCTTGTCAGATCCCGAAAGGATGAATAAGGAGCTAATCTCCCTCTTCCAGGGAATTCTACCAGTGATGTCTGAGACAGTCCCTTCTCAGCGGGACTGTGGGAGAGCAGTGGAGTGTGCGCTCACAATAGAATGTTTTCAGAGCATATCGGACTGTTATCTCACCATTAGATATATATATATAGTCCTTTTCACAATGCACACAAGCCTAGGTGTGCACATACATACGGGCACTTACAGATGAGTCCCCCAATCCTTTTTTGTTTGGACCATGGAGCCTGCACCTAGTCCTGATCCACACGTTATTAACAGTGTGTTTGTTATCTTTCAAAGCAGGTTTGCAGCGTGAACAACAGGGACGCCCCGGTGTACATGCCCCCAGGTTTCCAGGTGTGTCTGTGTGTATTTCTGCAGGGGCATGCAGGTGTTTATGCAACACCTGGGAGCATGGAGCGCTCTGATTCCCATGGTATTCTATTTTGACTTGCTTGGGAATGGAGTTTTCTCCCATCCAGAGATTCCTTTGTTTACCCCCCAGAGAGCGACTTAGCCACTTCTGTCCCCACTCTTGAGGCAGGGGGTACGGTAACCATTTAAAGAATGTGAAAGGTGCGGGAAAAGGCCTAAGGGAAGGGTGAGTCCAGCGACTGCGTCATGTGTTTTAATGCTTGATAGGGGTGGGGGTGGGGTCATGGTTCGAAGGTGCAGAGGGAGGTCAGAGAGATCAAGCTGAGAGCTTCTCTGGTTACAGCCGTGTCTAGACTGGTCACTACCGTTACTACCTTTAAGGTCTGTTTTAGGGCTCCACTTTTGTTTTTGGGTTATTTATTGGGTTGTCAATTTCACTATGGAGGAAAAATGTTGAGGTCATATGAGGCTGTCTTTTGTCATCAGCAGTTAATAACATCTGAAACTATATTCACCCAGTCTTAACCCTCCGGTATCACTCTGGACATTTTTGTCCTGAATGGCCAATTAGGGTAGTCAATTTGAATGATATAGGAGGGTTAAACAAATGTGGGACTCTTGAGAGGGTATTTGATGTTATCATCAGTCTTTGCTCCTATTGTGTAATACCCCCTGACTAACGGCAATAGCTAAGAAGAACTTCAAATCCTTTTTTAATGGAATCACCTTAGGATTTTACAGTTTGTTCCACAATAAAACACAAGTGTACACCAAATGAAATGTAACCCCAACAGATTAAATCACTTTTTAAAAGCTCGAGATAGCTTCCTTTCTTTCTGGATGAGATCCCTTTTGCACATGTTATAACAAAAGTGCAACAGATATCTATTTTTATTTAAGATAAAATAAAGTTACACCTACTGCAGCAGTTTTCTTTATGCTCTTGTGCAACATTCAAGGCAACACGTTTTGAGTATTATTTGTACATTGTTATGATGAAGGTCTGTGGTATTTCAGGGATAAAGGTGCTTGTCGATTTCATAATTTGAAGTCTGATTTCAGCAGCCTCTGTGTCAGGCGGTCTAGACTGTGACAGGCTTCTAAAAGCAATGAGACAGGTTTAGTTTGGCTTCAATCACAGCGCAGCGCAGTACAGTAGCTCACATCCACGTCATGTGTGGTTTGAATGTGGAGAGCTGAGCTGTGTGTCATGTAGGGTGAAGCTGTGGGACAGGTGCAGAGATGAAAAGATTGGTGGGGGGAAGCAGGGCGTGCCTGCTCCGTGGCTGTTCTGACAGGCCTTTGGTATTTATCCAAAGAGTGTGAGAGCGTGTGTGTGTGTGTGTGTGTGTGAGTGAGAGAGTGTGTGAGTCGGAAAACCTGCTCACATTTCTCCTGGGAAAATTGGGCAGGTGTGTGTGACTGGAAGCAACGTCTGCCTTTGTACTATTGTGTGCCACAGGAAGAATACCTGCTTGCGTGTGAGGTTATGCTGATAGACGTGAGAGCCTATAGGTGATGAGCGTCTTTTTCCCGCAACAGCAGCAAAAAGAGTGTGACAGCTCCGGTGCAGAGTTGTATCTGACAGCGTAGTTAAATGCCACATTCAGTCCCAGTATGATACTCAGCGCTGTCTATAAATTATTATTATTGTGTCCATTATACTCAGCCAGAAGAGCTTCATGCTGTGCTCTGAAAACAGCTGATCTGCTATTTATACATATAGAAAACACAAAAATGACATATTGGGTTTAGTTTTGTGCTCTTAGACATTTAATCAGTATGGAATTGTCTTTTCAGACACATTGTTCTTTGTATGCTGTCAGTGTGTGTGTGTGTGTTCGTGAGTGGGCATGTCTGCATGGTAATGATGCTCCGGCTGCTGTTGCGCAGGCCATTGTATTAATACACTCTCTCAATGTGTTAATACACTGTGAGAATGAGAGCTATGAACGAGAGACTGAGAGAAAGAGAGGGAATAATTATGTTTCCTCTTTTGTCTCGGCTCCCTCAATTAAGCCCGAAGAGAGGCAGCCAGAGCACATGTCTACTTATCCACTTAGAGCTCGGCAACAATAGGACCCCCCAATCTGTCTCTGTCTATCTCTGCCTCGCTCTTTTATTTCTGTCTGCCTCTGTTTTCACACTTTTCCATATCAAACTTCTATTCAGAGCACAGGACAAGCAATATGTTTTCGTTCTGTTTCTGCAACAACCTCAGCAACCTCCCTCCTCATGCATCGTGCCTCCAGCCTCGCCTCACCTCTCGGCTTTACGTGGGTTTAGCAGAGAGCCCCCCCCCTCCCTCTCTCTCTCTCTCTTTCCCCGCTACCCCTCTCCCCTCTCTGCCATGCTTTGCTGCAGGGTACGGGGAGAGGAAAAACCAAGAGACTAAACATTTTAGATTGTACACCGCCAGAGGAAAAGCAGTGGTTTGATTTCCCCTGCGTTGTGTCGGACAGGATTGTTTTGTTTGTTTGGCCTGTGTGTGGTTTTTTTTTCACCTCCACTCAGACAGATAGGAGAATAGATTAGCTACTTTGCAACGGCAATGTAAAGCCAATTCAACCAAGAGCTCTACGTCTTAAAAAACACGTTTTCTAACGTTTTTATTATCCAAATGGTGTATAATTGTAAATCTGCGAGGACAGCCATTGTATACAAGAGGGTTATATTGATTTCCATTCACCAAACATTCATGCACTATCTATCTAATAAGCGTTTTAGTGTATCAAGTCTTGTGTTTGCAATTACATTATGGCCAACAATTGACACTGATGTCGGATTCAAAAAAGAAAGCAGGACTCTCTCCAAAATAATATTCAGCACGTGTCAAGCATTGTTTGTTCATCGTACTACGTGTGTTTCTGTTTGGTTTTGAAGTGTGTGGGTTGGAATAAGCCTTATTAAGCCGGATGGGATGGAGGAGATATGAGAAATAAAAGGTGGAGGGGGAAGCAGGGGAACGGAAGAGGAGGAGAAGTATCAGGGTCAAGTTTATCTTATGTAACTGCTTCCCACAGCTGGGGAGAAATGTACTGCAGCGGGCGGCTAACACCCATACTGGAGTTGAGAAGTGGAACAAAACACTGTAGTTGGTTTCCACGCACTGTAACTGCCACAACCCGTACTTCTCTAATTGTCCTTTCCACTTCCCATTTTCGAAACTCTCATTTCTGTGTATTTTCCGAGAACCGTAACAGGGTTGATTCCTTGTATTTCTTCCCCAGAGAATAATCAAACGGACAGTTCTGCTTATAATCAATGATAAAAGCAGCAGGTGTTGACAAAGTTAACTGTAGAGAAAAAATGCTTTGTTAGCATTGTGGAAAAAGACTTACTTACGCACTACATTTGAAAGTCAGACTCTGTGCTGATTGACATCTGCTCTGCAATTGATAGACTGCAATTCTCCTTTTCTCTTTTGCTTTCTCCTTTCTTATTTACAAGGCAGGGAAATATTCTCTTTTCCATTATTCTCCTGCTTATAGGCTTATCAGAACCGAACACATCTGACATTAGTGTTTGCTGTATACTGCCAGGGGGGCCTCTGAATGCAGCCGACTGAGAAGGATCATCAGTGATATCTTCGTACAAACTAGATTTATTTGATCTTTTAGTGACCTGAAATGATGTGCAGCACTACACACAGCGCTTAAACGTGCATACCTTCACACTATACATAGCATACTATGGAAATCATGGTCTACTCTAAGCAGCTCAGGGCTGGTATTAGGGGAAATTAGGTCGTGTTGGCAAGGATCGTTTAATTGAGTCTTAAGCCGAAAATCATTCACCATAGCTGCTTTCATGTTCTGTCAGTTTACCAAAAGCGTGTGTGTGTGTGTGTGTGTGTGTGTGTGTGTGTGTGTGTGTGTGTGCGTACGTGTGCGTGTGCATGTCCTCACATCTCCTCGTCTGCCGGGTGTTAATACAAAATGTTTTGTGCACATGCCCGTACATGCCTGTATGGTTTCGGGTTGGCAATGAGTTTCAGTGTGCCTTTCTAAGAAAATGCGGTTGTTTGTGAGTTTGATCTCCCCTCAGGCTCAGATAATGCCTCTGCACTTTGTTTCTGATGATCGGCGACTTATGTTTATGTGTGTATTTAAATGTGTGTGCTTTTAACTTGCCTCACTGCATCATCTTAAACTCCAAGCTTACTGACCACAGTGTCCTTTATTCTCTTTCATCCTGCCCCCTGTCTCCTCTCCTATAGACTCCCTCTCCAGTGTGTTTCACAGCTTTCCTTTCAACTTTACTTCACCCGCTTTATGTGACGTACCTGGTAGATCCTCTGCAGTGGTTTCAGAACTACCTTCCCCTTCCCGTCTCCTCTCTCCTCCCCTGTGTGCGTTTGACACATCAGGTCACTTTGAAGTTGTGAGAGCTCCACTGAAACACTTCTCTCTCTTCTTGTTCCTCTCAGGGCAAGTTGACACCGGCATTTGAGGATGTGTGGAGGATCATGCAGTCGGTGAGAGATGACACCGAGCTGATGTGGAGAAGCTAGTGATGCGGCTGCTTAACCACAGGTAACCACAGTTTGTACACTTTGCTTTCTTATTACTGCTAAATTCAGTTTAATATTCAATATTCCATCCCTCACATACTTATGTATATATAATAACTTGCTTTATATTTGATTTTTGTTAATTTGTTAATTCGACATGTATATTTTCTACTTTTTTGTTTATTTCCAGTCTTTTTTAATTTGTATTGTACAATGCCATGTCTTTTATGCTGCTGCAACACAAACAATTCCCAAATTGGGCTCAATACAGTATTATCTTATCTTATCTTATCTTATCTTAAATGCACACTAACAATAATGATGTTCTTTTGGATTGTACCGGTTTGTTGGAATACTTTTAATTGAGTTTTGATTCTCAATACAAGACAAAACGATGTGTTAGAGAATATGTTTGTCAGTGTCTCTGCAGTTGGAGCCCACACTGAGAACCTGATGGTGTGGGTTTGATGAGGTGTGACTCACAGAGGACCGGCTGATCTGAAAGCAGTTGACTCAGCAGCTCCATGTGCTTATATAACAGAGGGCATGAGGCGGTGCAGGATGCTCCGATAACTCTATCATCAGCACTACGCAGTTTCAAACTGATTTCTTTGATCATTTCAACTGTTTTGGGAGTACATGAATAATTTGAACACCACTGAAGGAGAAAAGTGCTTGCAAAAAGGATTAGGCATCAAAGCAATAGATGCTACTGCAGTGCACTGCGCAGTTTCCAAGATTTTATTAATCAACATTTGACTTAAATTGAAATATACCTAAGGAGTTTGGGCATTTAAAAGTTGAGAGGTCTTTGTAGACGGTGATTTTGATGCATTGTGAATACTTAAATGAGACAACACCAGAAAACCCTTAGGAAGTGTTAGCTGTGTTTATGCTCCAAATCAATGGGTTTTGTACTAAGCACAATATCAAACATTAAGGTCAGTTAACATAAAGCTGGCACGAGAACTTCCCCTTTATCTGTCGTACACTTCTGCCGTACCACTGTTAACTAATGGAGCTGCACATGTCACCCTCTCATCCAGCACAGAGATTGACCTGCTTTTCAACAACAAACGTGAGAGAGTGTACAAGCCAATGCCATTAGAGGGCATGGCCTTCAGTTTGATAATGGATTAAAAGCAGAGGGTCTCTCAGTAATAAAACAAAAGCCTTTCTATACAAACTGAAAGGAACCCAAATGTTACTGTAAATCACATGATTACACACACAGCTTTTCTCCATCTGGTACAAACACTTTTACACCAGTGGTATCGATGCCCTGGAGGAGGTTGATGAACTTAACGTACGTACATATATATATATATATATATATAGCCCTCTTACTACTTAGTTTTGTTATTAGCTGAGGTGATCGATGTGCCAGTTAATGAAAACAGATGTCAACAGATTTGGTCCACAGTAGAACTAAAACACTTCACTAACTTTTAAAATTACAAAAACTAGTCATAGGGCAACATGGTAACATTTCTAAGATATTTATGCCTTATTCTCATCTGCAGTTGAATCATGGGAAACGTCGAAAGTCAGAATGGGGACAGTGGTTTCTACGGCAACGCGTCGGGACACATCTCCCGCAAACAGACGTCCAGGTCACTCCGGCTCCCCAACAAGCAGCCAATCACGCGTCGTTCCCGGCTCTCTTCTTCAGTGAAACAGGAACACAGAAACTCTGATGCCTCAACTCGCTCCTCCAGCACCCCCAGCATCCCACAATCCTTAGCAGAGAACGGACTGGAGCCTTTTAACGCAACCGATGCACTCGAAGAGTTCGGCATCAACCCTCACTGGACACAGCGCGTCGCTATGACGATGAGGCCGGAGTCCTATCAACACGATGACGACAACTTGGCCACGCCGACTCCTGAAACCTCGGAGGCGGACACCGTCGCTCAGGACGGAGGAGAGGACTCCACGGGGGAGGGGGAGGTCCTTGGGGAGGAAACGTACCTCCAGCGAATGACTGAGGGTCCCCGGGAGGGAGGGAGTTTCAAGAAGAAGAGGTCCAAGTCGGCGGACATGTGGAGAGAAGACAGCCTGGAGTTCTCTATGTCGGACCTGAGCCAGGAGCATCTGACCAGCACTGAGGAGATCATAGATGGAGGAGAGGAAGAGGAGGAGGAACAGTTTGCATGTCCAAGAGGCAATGCAGGTGAGGATGGTGAACACTCACACAGTCTATTAAACTTACAGAATACAAATCAAATGTTCTCATGTAGTATTTCAGATTTTCTTAGTGACAAAGACTAAAAACAAAAGTGCTTTCTCCATTAAGTCTCAGCCGAAATCCTAAATTAACCAACTTTAATTAATACAGTAAAAAATGTTAACTCAGTATATGTATTTTTTGTATATATATATTTTTTTACTGATGGTTGATACAAATGTTCTCATAGTGTATATGGATATACTGTATGTGTGCATGTGTGCAGGGGTGTTAGCTTGATTTGACTCGCATTACAAGTGATGAGGGGGAAGGTGGGACAAATTGAACAGAGACACTCTGACACAATTTCAGAAAAACCTACTGATTAAAGGTTAGCTGCCATCCATCAGATTCAGGAGTTCAGTTGATCACATGATTGTTAGCTTAACGCAACAGCAGGCAGCAGCTGGTAACTGCTGATGGTCTAAGTGCTGCACCAGGGGGCAAGCCATCTCAGAGTAATGGAAGGGCTTGCTACGCACACACGCACCACACACACACACACACACACACACACACACACACACACCACACACACACACACACACACAAACACACACACACACACACACACACACACACACACACACACACACACACACACACACACACACACACACAACATTCATACAAAATCACACACTGAGAAAAAGGTAATTTACACGTCAAATGTGAGAAAGAAATCTGAAAGTAACTGACAGTAATCAGAAAACACTTACCATACCTCTCAAACACGCACGCACGCACGCACGCACATACACACACACACACACACACACACACACAGACGCACACAGACAGACAGACACCCACACACCCACACTCACACACACACACACACACGCACGCACACACACACACACACACAGACGCACACAGACAGACAGACACCCACACACACACACACACACACACACACACACACACACACACACACACACACACACACACACACACACACCACACACACACACACACACACACACCACACACACACACACACACACACACACACACACACACTGCCCTGCAATAACCACCTGTGTGTGTTCCAGGCGCAGCTGAAAGGGCATCGTCTCTGGACCATCTGTGCAGCCAGCAGAGTCCCGGCCTCAGGGGGCAGAGGAGCCGCTACGCTAAGAGCCGTCGGGAGGCCCAGTGCGATGGAGATGAAGAAGGGGAGGGGTTGATGTCTCCAGCTGAAGAAGATGGTGGCGGGTACGGAGCATTCACGCTCCCCTGCCGACGCTCCCACTGCCTCTCAGAGGGCCTGGCAGGGCTCGGCATGCCGTCTGCACCGTGCCCGGCTTTCCAGGGTCGGCGTGCACAAACTACTCAGGTTAGATCACTTTTTATACATTTAGGAAACATTTAACAACATGAATCAGTTTAAAAGTGTACTTTTCTGTGGTATACTGGCTCTTCTGTCTCTCCTTTATACATGCATAGCCCTTAAAATAGAATGATAGAGCACTTTGTTTACCAGTTGTATCCAGGAAGTTCATGGGGTTCACAGACATAACAGAGGACAAAAATTTACATTTTCTTGACAACCATAGACGTTTCCTGTGTGTGCTCATGCTGTGCAGTTGTGTGTTGTATGCACATCCAAGTGAGTGTGTATATTTGTGTAGCGGGGAAAGGGATTACAAGGATTCAGATGAGAGTTGCTGTGGGGCTACTTGTCCATGTTGGCCTGGTTTCTCCGTTCCCCCTCCGGAAATGAAAGCATTAAAGCATAATACCTTTCATGCCCCTTTCAATAACCATACACAGGGTCCTAACACACATACATATGCACACAGAGACATGTTGAACATAATTGATAAGCCTTTGTTACGGTCTTACAAAAGCAGGTTCAACCAGAGGATAAAGAAAGAAGCAAGTCAGTGTATCACCAAGAAGCCAGATAATAAGAGAAGCCATGTGCAAAAATAACAAAACTACCATCCCTAGAATGAAGACTGGTCATGTTCTCCCTGTAGTCATCATGTGTCATTGATTAAAGTTGCTTAATCAGAAGTAAGTGCTAAAATAGCAACCCAGGCTTTTCTTTATAACTCATTCCCAGAACCCCCAAGCATCCTTGGATCACAAAGCACCCTAAGTGTTTATTATAAATTCATCTAGCCAGGCTTAGGGGGTTTATAGACCGGATAAAAATAGACTGATAACACAGCAAAACAAAGAGAAAAAGAACAGAGAGAGTCTCACTTTGTTTAAAGAAAAGTGTGAAAGCAGAGAGCCAGAAAGCATGCCAAAACATGTGCACCAACCCACATACAAACTTTACAAATGTAAACCCAGAGAACCCTTGTGTAGCTTAAACTGTGTTGTAGCTTTCCAAATATATCAGTTTCTGTCAAAGCATTAATAATCTGTAAGTACATCTGTTCTGTTTGTTTCTGGCTCACAGGATATCTCGGGTGTTTTGGGTGAGGGAAGTGAGTATGGGGACAGTGGCATCGACGGCGTCACCACGGAGATAGACGGGTATGGAGAGTTGGTGTCACGGCGCTGTAAGGCCATGTCGGCATCGTTCTCCGTGTACTCTGCTACCGAAAGCAGCGTTTTCAACGGCAGCGACAGCGGCAGCAGCAGCGCAGGAGGAGGAGAGGGACGAGGCGGCGAGGGAGGGAGGGGAGGAGTTTATGAGAATTACCGAAAGGAGCTGGACAATCAAGCATGGGTTAGTCAATTAGCACATGTCTGTCCTTATTAATGACACATCCAACATGTTTGTTATCACTCATATTGTCAATCATTCCCTCCTCAGACACATCAGGGTAGGGACTGCACGGAGGAGGGCGGGTCCGCTGTTAGCGATGAGCGCAGCAGTGGCACACTCAGCAGTGCATATCCATCGGACGCTCTGATTGGCTCTGCACAAGGCACAGTCAGAAAAGCAGGGGCTCTGGCCGTGAAGAACTTCTTGGTTCATAAGAAAAACAAGAAGGTGGAACCTGCAACGAGGCGCAAGTGGAAACACTACTGGGTTTCTCTGAAAGGTGAGCATAGCTCTCATATTTTTAGGTTTATAAACGTATTTTAAATGTGTTTTTTTGATAAGGTCATGCAGCAGTATGTCACTTTCAGATAAACATCGTCTTAACCTGACCCAAACCCTGTCTCACGCTCTCTCTCCTGTTAAGACTGTAATCACATCAGACTTCACACAGCCCACGCCCTTGCTTGTCACCTCTACCGTCCTCTCTCAGCCTCTTCTGTGTGGCCTTCCATTTCCTCTCCCAGGCCTCATCACAATTTAATTTTTACGGCCGCACCCGTGTCGAATCCAATCTCATCCTTGTTAAATGCATGAGATACAGCATTTGAAGCGGCATTTCTGCAAGCTTCCTGTCCTCATCCACCCCCCTAATGATAAATAAATCAGACTGTCTAATGTTATCAGAGAGCCCATGCTTCTGATTAGTCTGCCTAAATACCAATTAAGGAGCAAATGCATTATAAGGGGACAGCATTTTTTGTGGTTATTTGGTTGTCTGTATTTCTCACACATTTTATATTTGTAAATGACTGCAACGGAGTGCTGAAAAGCCTTGTCTTTTGTAAGTGGTTACAATGTAATTGAACAAAATGAAATACAGTACCTAATAGGAAATCTGTAAGAAAGAAAAAACTGTTCTTTTGCTCTCAATCTTTTTTTTCTTTGTTCTTTAAGGCTGCACACTTTTCCTGTACGAGTCAGACTGTCGCTCTGGGATCGACCACAACAGCGTTCCCAAACATGCACTGTGGGTGGAGAACAGCATCGTCCAGGCCGTGCCTGAACATCCCAAAAAAGACTTTGTTTTCTGCCTCAGCAACTCAGTGGGAGACGCCTTCCTCTTCCAGGTGAGAGACACACTGGTATTTAAAACACGAGGCATAATCATGCACTTCCTTTAAAAACAAGGGGGGAAGGAACGTTTTCTACTCACACATACATAACTGTGTGTGTGTGCGATTTGGTGTGTGTGTGTGGCACAGAAGTACATGACATTTAGACATGTGTGGGATAAGCCAGGCCAGCGTCCATGTGTTTGTTTAATGTGTGACATGTTTAAAGGCCACACTGTCATAGTGTGACAGTGATCCACCACAGTGACCATTGTGTAATACTAAAATGTGTCTATTTATATGCATGGTAGCTGTCAACAGTGACATTCAATCAATGAATGAAGAGATAAGTATTAAGATAATGAGATTATAGTGACCACCATCTCCAAGGCTAATAATGGGAATACTACTTCAATTCTTTTAGCTGTCATTTATTTGTATTTTTACGACTTAGTCAATGTCAATTTTTCCATTTCCTGTCAGACTTCAGGCCAGACGGAGCTGGAGAACTGGATCACGGCGATCCACTCTGCGTGCGCCGCGGCTCTGGCCCGGCAGCACCACAGAGAGGACACAGTGAGACTGCTGCGAACAGAGATCCGCAAGTTAGAGCAGAAGATCGACATGGACGAGAAGATGAAGAAGATGGGAGACATGCAGCTGTCGACCGTTACCGACGCCAAGAAGAGGAAGACCATATTGGAGCAGGTACGGAGCAAGGATGGAAAGAGGCAATAGGGAGTTATGACGAATGAACTCTGAAAGTACTCAAATACCTTAAAGCTGCTGTGTAGGAATTAGTCTCAGTGAGAAAAAAGGCTTTTTATATTTTCTTACTGCAAATGATTCATACTTTATGTCCATGTGATGCTGATATGAACCAGGTTTGTGATCTCATGTGCTGAGTGAAAACACCTATGGGGCTTTACAGATGCACATCACTGTACTTTCAAACTGCAGTGTTGCTCTCACTCACTGAAGTCTCTGCACTAAATCATCTTTACTGCATGGCGTCATTCAAACAAAATGTTCTTAAGGACTACTTGCAACGACAGATGCGTTCAAACATTTCCGGCTGGCGCTCATTTATAAACACCTAGTGCAGCAGAATGCACTCATTAGACATGTTGAAACACATTCAATGCATACATCAGCAGGCAGGTGAAATCACATGCTAATCCTGCCATATTTAATAGCTGTTTTGGATTGAGCCACATCTGGATTCTTTTTTTTAAGGATTAGATCTCTGTATTATTAGTTGAATGTGACTCGTAGCTTTTACTCCATGCATGTCTGGAGTTGCATGTAAACATTGCAAAATAGCTTAAGAATGTGCCCTCAAACAATGGGTCTCCTTGTGGCAACCCTCTGGGTCTTTGAATGTGTGTGGCATTCAGTTGATAGTCAATAAAAGAAAAGAATATTACATAAAAAAAGCACCTGGAAGTAGTTATAGTCAATCATCCAAAGCGTGTCACAAAACATCGGGTATTTGATTCTCTACTATAAAGACACATTCACTTAAAATTGTGGGATCAAAGTGAAAAGCCTTTATTATATGAATGTCTGACTTTTTCCAAGATCTTTATCTGGAACCACATTCATTTACAAAATGAGTTTGCATGAATAGGCCCGGGATGTACGTTTGCATAGAAGACTCAAAGAAAGAGCAGTTGTGTGAAGTCCTGGAACAAATAGGGGAACTAGTGCAAATGAAGTCTAGATTATGTTTCAATTTGAGTGTGGGTGTGTTTGGGTGTGTGTGTGTGTGTGGTGTGTGTGTGTGTGTGTGTGTGGGTGTGTGTGTGTGGTGTGTGTGTGTGTGTGTGTGGGTGTGTGTGTGTGTGTGTGTGTGTAGTGTGTGTGGTGTGTGTGTGTGTGTGTGTGTGTGTGTGTGTGTGTGTGTGTGTGTGTGTGTGTGGTGTGTGTGTGTGTGTGGTGTGTGTGTGTGTTGTGTGTGTGTGTGTGTGTGTGTGTGTGTGTGTGTGTGTGTGTGTGTGTGTGTGTGTGTGTGTGTGTGTGTGTGTGTGTGTGTGTGGTGTGTGTTGTGGTGTGTGTGTGTTGTGTGTGTGTGTGTGTGTGTGGTGTGTGTGTGTGTGTGTGTGTGTGTGTGTGTGTGTGTGTGTGTGTGTGTGTGTGTGTGTGTGTGTGTGTGTGTGTGTGCGTGTGTGTGTGTGTGTCTGTGTTCCACCTCCCACGGACAACACTGTGATACATAGCACACAGCACAGCAGGTCGTGGACTGGTGGGGGTTGTGTTGCTGAGTAATACCTCTCCACAGGGGCTTCAGCACTCCCACATCTCACTCCTCCTGAAATGACCAAATCACCATCTAACAAAGGATGGTATCTTATGCATATAAAATAAATATGTATCTCTTTATCACTGTTGTGATGTTACCTATGATGTCTCTCTATTCCTAGCTTTTAAGGGTCATTTCATTTCTTGTATTCTTCTTTGTAATTTGATTCTGTATATGTTGCACCTACAGTACCAGAACAAAATACATTTCGTTGTGCCTTAACAATGACAATAAAGTTATTGATAGTTGAACATTTTATCGTTCGTTTAGATCTTCCTGTGGGAGCAGAACCTGGAGCGGTTTCACATGGATCTGTTTCGCTGTCGGTGCTACCTGGCCAGCCTGCAGGGGGGCGAACCCCCCAACCCCAAACGCCTGCTGGGCTTCGCCTCGCGTCCAACCAAGCTGTCCATGGGACGCCTGGGCATCTTCTCCGTCTCCTCCTTCCATGCACTGGTACGAGAAATTCCCATGCACACACGTGTTTTAGTACTTGTGTGCGACTTCTTATTCTAACTGTCTCACTCACTTGCTGTAATTTCACTCTTAAACCTAATCAGATCTCCTAAATCAAAACTTTGAATTCGGTCCCAGGTGTATCTTTGTGTTATAGTAGGCATTGCGTGAGAGGTTCCCAACTGGTGACCTTCGACGCCCTCAGCTTGTAGAGTGGGTGTGTTTAGCTGGCAGTTGGAGTGAGCATCTTGTCACATACGCCCACTAAAAGGATTTCTGCTTGCCTGACAAATCTACAAACTAATAGTGATTGCACTGCATGAAGCCTGAGGTTGAAACACACTAAAAGCTTAATGGCGGTTAATTAGGAGCAAGCAGGAACTACAAGGCTAAATAATGAACATCCCAAAGTAGCTTTGCACTCCAGCTGCTATTTTGGACTTTTTTAGAAAGTTTTAGAAGGCTGAAAATGTTGTAACCGAAAATGGGCCAAAGCTGTGATAAAACCTGCTAATACTAATATAGTAATTAGTTGCCCCTTCTTTCATAGTAGTAGTGGTTGTTTCTTTTAGTTACATGAAGACATTTGAAGTCCTTATTACAGAGTTTGTGTGTTGTAAAACTCTGTTGGGAATCAGTTTGAACCTTGAAGAAATCCTGATCTCAGCTGTATCTTCAAAACAGAGTATAAAAAGTTGAAAATCAATAACATGATAATGTAACATTTATTTCAAATAACATCTAAAAAAAAAAGCCTTTTATGAAAATGAAAACCCAACAAAATGGTCCCTCCTTAAAAATAGCCTCTTTGATGGATGTTTTTCTCCCCGTTAGGGAAACTAGATGCACACTTGCCTTACATACCTGCACACACAGTGTCACCTGGCACATTCAGATCATTCTCCTCACAAGCTGTTCTGATGTGTGCTGCTTTAAAGCCAAGTCACTGACTCAAGGCCATGATGTACTCTCGTTGTTACCTCAAGCAATCCTAAGAATGTGCAGAATGAAACGCTGGCATGGAGGGAATGATCTATATGCTGTGACTGTGACTCCGCTAAATATCATCCAGGAAAAACAAGTAAAGAGAAAGAGGAAACAAATCTCTATAGACCAGTTTCATACAAGCAGGACATCAGATACACCAAACATACACACACATTCACACAAACACACTGACAACATCAGAGGTTGATAGTGTTTTTTTGTGACTGGTGGATCAATATGAACTCTGTTAGTAAGCTGCCATCCCCGAGGCACTTTCCCACAAACAGGCTTAACACTCTCTGCTCTGTTGACCCCCTCCTTCCTTTTTTTTTTATAACACCCCCACTTTCTTTGTCTCTGATAGTCGGCACAATATTAGACATCCAGAGCCCGACCGTCTTCGAGGCGGTAAAAAACGCTCATGTCTACAGCTCTCTAAATCGTATCTACATTATTTCGACACCCTTTTTTTCCTTCTCTGTCTTACACCTTCTCTGTCTTTCCTCCATCTTCTTTCCCTCTAAGTTCACAATCAGATCATTTTTTCTCAAATCTAACAGTTTAATATTGCATTAGTCAAATAGCACTCCAAAAAGACACAATATGCTTTGCTATATCAATGAACTAAATTTAATTGAAATACATTAACATAATAAAGAATAGAACCTGGTAATTTATTAATGAAATACAAAAAACTAATTCATATTGCCTCCAGCAAAAGATAACTGTCCTCTCTCTCAACTCTCAGTTTTTTTTACCACTTTATTCATTATTTCCTACCATTTTTTACCAAGCACAAAGAGACATCGTAATATGGAATGAAGGAAACGGCCTCTTGCACGCAGCATACATAAGAAGAATCTTGAAGACAGTTTGACCTATTATGTTGGAAGTGTGTGTGTCTCATGAGCGGTGACTGGCGAGGAAATCAATAAGCGCACACCCACCCACACAGTACACTATATGCTTGTGCACATACAGTATATATATATGTGCATAAATGCATCTGTGAACCACACAGTGAGACAGGGCCTCCTATAGCCCTTTAGTTCAGTGTGAATTAACCCAGAAATGCCAAGAGTGGTTTCTCTTTGAATGTGTAGTGGGTCACTGTAGGAAAGTGAGAGGTTGAGTGTGTGCCATTAGTCTATACTATGCGGCTGAAAATGTGCTTTATGTGTTGAAGTGTTTGCTTGCCTGTGTGTTCATTTGTATGTTTGCAAGCAAGAAGTGACTCACAGGACAAACAAAGACAGCCACTGCTGTCAGTGTACAATACAGATATATAGTCTGGCATTCCCCTTATTTCTTATGGGCTATTCATTATAAAAGCAGCTCAACTATTTAATAAAATCTAAGTATGATTATAATTTTGAATTTAATATACTCTAAAGTCTACTGCACATGTGTCAAACTCAAGGCCCGGGGGCCAAATCAGGCCTGTGGTGGATTTAATTTCGGCCCGCATGATAATTTTTAATTACTATTAATAATTACTAATGTCTTCCATTTTTGTAAAGCACTTTGAATTGCCTTGTGTTGAAAGGTGCTATATAAATAAACTTGCCTTGCCTTGCCTTAGATCTGGCCCGCCGGTATATTGCACGCACACCTTCACTCAACCCTGAGGGTTTTCTCAGCTCAGAGCCTGACCCCAAACATTGATGAACTAGCACCCAAGATGAGATGCCAAGTATCTGGCTTGAACTAGCATCACAGAGCAGCACACTGAGTTTACATGGATGTTTCCTTCTGCACTTTTTTTCTTGTGACAACAGGGCATGTTTGGTTTGTTCTTTGAAGGAAATAGTTTTTTTGAAGCTGTTGTTGGCCTGTGGAAAAATGTAATCATAAGAAATGACTCCGGAAAAGCTGCAGATAGAGCCATAAGAAATGAATGCAACTGATTATTTAATGTTTAATGTTGTTTTTATAGGCAATAATTTAAGCTTTGTTAGTTCCAGGTTTAATATGTGCAATAAGTTCATTTCAATAAGTTTTGCAATGAACATTGAACCAGTCCGGCCCTCGACTAGTACCCATTTTTTAATTTTGGCCCACTGTGTATTTGAGTTTGACACCCCTGCTCTACTGCGTGTTCTGCCCCAAAATGGGGCTTTGACAATTTCTGCTTTCCAGTTGGCATGGAATATGTTATAAAAAAGGACGAAAGAGACTTTAAACTCGCTGAATTAATCTTGTTAAATGCTTTAAGATACAAAATAACTAGAGTCTAGAGAATAAATAATTATAGTCTATGGCAGCGGTTCCCAACCTTTTTTATTTAATTTATTTTTATTTTGTACAGGCTAAAGACACAAACATGGACATAACGATAACATATAGGAGATGACATTCCCATCTCAGACAAAAACAAAACAAAAACAGAAGAAATAGAGATACAGTCAGTAGGATCACTTCAACATTTCACAAACAAAAATAGGTTGACAACCAGAGATGGGGTCGTTACTAAAAAAAAGTAATATATTACATATTACATATTACTTTAAAAAAAAGTAATATATTACACTACTTCGTTACTCTCTACATAAAGTAACTCGTTACTTTACTCGTTACTTTACTCGTTACTTCACTCGCAGGGCCGGCCCGCCCCTCCCTACAGGCAGATCACGCAGACTGCTAAAGTTTCAAATGTTCTCTTTAGTTCAGTTTCCATTGTCGCATAAGACTGATCCAGATAGCTCTGACCATGGCTGTCCTCTGTCTCCTGCTATCTGTATTTTGCGCAGTATATCTCTGAACGATGCGATGGTGATTCCACTGTGCAAATGGGCAACATTACCTCTACTATGAAGGATGCTACAAGCCTGTCCATCTCTGCTTTGGTTACCGGTCCTCCAAATTCTTGCGGCGGTGCACTCACAACATCCTCACTCTGGGTTCGGGGGTCCTTAGCTATTAGCTTCACCTTAGCATGTGTTCTTTGCAGGTGTTTGTTGAGGTTTGACGTGGTGTTTACAGCAGTGGATAACAGCTTCTGGCCTGGACACAGTTTGCACCCAACTCTGTTGACAACCAAATACCACCAAAAACACAACATGGCAAGCATATTTATTGTTCCTTTAGTCCCACTCTTTGTTAGAGCTCATTATTTCCATGTCATGGCGTGTTGAGCCACCCTTTGATTTTTTGTGGCAATCATTTTTACAAAAGAAATTGTATTTATAATCTACTCTTCAAACACCTTAAATTAAGATTACTCCTTGATTGACTTTTATAAATATGCCAGAAGAATAGTTGTATTTATTAACTGTGTGCGGTCTTCATCTAAAAGCCCAAATAAAATATTAAAGGGTGTAAATCTAAATTCAATTTTGCCGCCACATAATTTGCAAAACATTATGATTTGTGTGGAATTTTTATTTTTTATTTGAACCTCTTTTCTTTTCTCGATCCTCCTGAGCAACGGTCATTCCAGTCCTTGATAGCGGTCTGTTCTACTGGATTTACAACGTGTCACATGTTCTGAATTGACCAATCAGAACTTTATTTAGCCTTGAAAAAGGTTGGGAGCCGCTGGTCTATGGAAATGCTTTTAGATTTCTCTGGTTATGAAACTGACTCTTTTAAACTTCTCTTTTGAAAAGTGAGTTCCTTGTGCTTGATTTTTAGTTCCGCATATAGTGAGAAATTTCATTTTCTACATATACAAATAAACTTTGATCATAGATACCTCAAATGTTATCTTTATATTTCCTAAATGCTAAATGGATACTGGATTTGATAAGCTGAATTCCATTCTTGACTCTGAACCTTTCTGCAGATAGCAGGCCATTTAGATGTAAGATAGGTAGGGCTTAGTAACAGATAAGGATAAGTGGATTGTAAGTGGATTACTGTAGCTGTAAGAACTATTGAGAAATTGTACAATGTTACAATAACACTATGGAAGATAAAGTTCAAACGCCCTTTCCTTTGGATGAATGTTTTGTGTGATCTACCAGGTGGCAGCGCGGACAGAGTGCAGCATCAGGAGGAGGAACCAGGCCATGCCCCGGACCATCAGTAAACGCCGCAGCCGGTTCTCCTCTCTCTGGGGTCTGGACACCACCTCCAAGAGGAAGACCAAGGGACATCCTTCCATCAACCAGGTAACCATATTGACACAACCATACTACAACCATTTGATTGATCTTACAGTGTTGAAAAAGTGTTAGTTATATTTCGGAGACATATCCAGAAAGAGGTCACATTTTGCCAAATAATTTGTTCATGAAGCACTGGTGAGGTAGCCAATCAGCTGCTAATCAACACTGTATGTTCATGTTGGGTTAGCATTCAATTAAAATGCTCAGAAAAGATTTGCAGATTGGATAATTTTTGAGATTTTTCCAAGCAGTGTGCAACTATTGTGGATGAAATAACTACGATGGATGAAACACATGTGGATGCCGCTGAAATGTCTTATTCTCCGTGTGATTGCAGGTCTTTGTTGATGGGGTGGAGCCGGTGAGGAAACCTTTGGAGCGCATGTTTGAAGACTCAGCCAGTGAGAAATCTGTAAGAGCTCAGCCATCTTTACTTGAGAACTAATACAAAACACAAATATACCTTATTACCAAGGACGATAATAGTATCACATTTTCCATTGTGGTTACTGTTTATTTTTTAACAGTAACAATCTTCCTAAGGCTAAACTAAGTTCCCCCTCTCCTTCCTAGTCTGACATTCACTACAGAGAACCAGATCTCATGTAGCCGTAGGCTCATTCTTTGTCATTGTTTGCCTTTTGCATAAGCCAACATACAAATCACAAGGGCATCTAATAAACCTTTGTACTTGCATAAAGGGTTATGAGCTTCTTAAGACCCAGAGGCTAGCAACACCGCTGGATTTTTCCACCTCTGTTCACTTAACTGAAATCCTTTTGGTGCGTTGGCTCTCCATTTAGTGGGTTATCTGGGGGAAGCACAAATTCTCCTCACTCTTCTGCAACGATGAGCATTTCTTTGAGGTCATTTCCTAGCTTCTGCTTTAATGTTTTTAGACATTATTTCTCTCCTCGGAGTGGAAGGATAAATAAAGAATCTTGTCCCTCGAAGCCATTAGATAATTTTTGAGTTTATTTGTGGTATATTAACCACCTATTTCATCTTCTGTTGCTGTTCGTCCTCCTGCACCACTCGCCAAATGATTGGCTTCACCGGACTTGCAGGAATAACTTGGTTTTTATAACTGCTCTCTCCTTTCTCTTACTCTGCGTCATAGCCAGAAATAATGCAATTTCTCTTCTTCTCTACCATCCTATTGTGTGTCAAACACCTTTCTCAGATCAGTGTTGACAGATTCCCATTTCTTCTTTTCCTTTGCCCCAGGCAATTCCCGCTCTAACGGCATCATTGGCTATCGACTGGAGGGATATTTCAGTCTGCTAATCCCTCTGAGACAAATGTAATCTGATCTGCTCAGATCATTAGCTTTCTGATGTTTCAACAAATTATGCAGGCATTTGCCACCAAAAGGCCTTGCCGTTTCACACCATCTGTGCTCTTGTGTCACATTGACCACAATTAACAGAAAACTGCAAATGAATAATATCTTCAGAGAGAAAAATAGACTATCAAAGGCTACCATAGGGTTGTAGGCTTCCAGTAGTCACAGGCTTATAAATAATACATTTATATGAACTGTAATGAAAAATATCCAATTACTCATGGGTTGTGCAAGGACAAGCATGCCAGCTCCATATTTTATGAGAACTGATAAAATGCAGCAGTCGATGGAAGAAAACTCTGCAGCACTCACCCACTCTGACCGTTGGGGCCCCCAGTGGCACTGTGAGAGATTGATTTCCATCCACCCACGCCCCGCTTCAGCTGGCAGGGTATGGGATGACAGAGAAGAAATGCATAGGAACTAAAGTGCTTCAGTTTGTTTTAAGACAAAGCAGGAAACACTGCATCAGTAGGAACGAGCATCTCCAGTTAGATCACTGCAGATCCAAATACTCACATCTGAGGGGCTTGTCCTAGCTTCAATCCCTTGTTTGTTATGGGGAATCCCACTGATGGAAAAAAGAGGGTGAGAAAGGGAGTTCTGTTTACCACCTCGGACCCCCACCCCCCCAACCAGCGGCATCCAAAATGGGCCAGGAGGGGAGACAGATGGTACCAAAGGCTGGGGAGATCAGGGAGTTGGGGGGAGGCACTAGTTTAGGCCCCCCAGTCTGTTGTCTAACTGAAAACATGTTTATGATATTATAATTTTTTGAGCTGCGTGTGTCAGTGTTATATTCATGCAATTGAAAAGGCAATGTACTTTTGCATATAGTTTGCACCCTTTGTTGGTTTCTCTGTCTCACTTTCACTCTAACAAACACACAGATCAACACACACACACACACACACACACACACACACACACACACACACACACACACACACACACACACACACACGCACACACACACACACACACACACACACACACGCACACACACACACACACACACACACACACACACACACACACACACACACACACACACACACACACACAGAGACCAGTCGGCAACAGTCAGCAGATTGTATGGCGCGAAAAGAAGATGGGGTGGCGGGAGATGATGGAGTGAAGTGTAGATAGAGGGGAAGGGGCACCAGAAGGAGAGGCAATTATTAGTTAGTGTTAGGGGGTTGCAATAGAGGAATGAAAGAATAAATGAGTTTGTGGAGGCTGTTACTTGATAGCAGCAGATAAGGTATCAGTGACAGACAGTGTGAGGTCGAACAGAAGAGGCGAGCGGGACAGAATCACAGGACAGAGGTCAGACTGATGGGTTTAAAGGTTACACTCTCTGCTTTGAACAGAATACACACACATATGTAACAAATACCCACGCAGGGAGACAATTGTATCAAAAGGCTCTCATCAACACAGACAAATTAGATTTTGTAATCAGATCTCCTTCTGCTTTCAGGCCACCAACAGTTTCCATCTAATCAGCAAATGTAGGGGTTTCAAGAAGAAAAACAATGATGAATTACAAGGATTACTGCATTATTTTAGCCATCTGAATTGTTTATAATAGATTTTTTTTCATTCTTCCCTTGGTATATTATCAACTGGAACTAAAAGGTTTTCATGATGCTATTGAATTAATGATGGAGTGCCAGATTATGGACTGTTTTCACCGAGGCTACTCAAAGTTGCTTAAATCCTCGGTGTGTGTTGTTTTTTCAGAAGGAGAAAGACGGCTCGGTGAAAAGCGTTCCTCAGCAAAACGTAGAGAGCGACATTTGGGTTCCTGATTACCTGCAGCCCTCCTGGGTGTGCCTCCCGAACAATAAGCCTGTCCTGGCCATCGTTCAGCCGGGGGAGACAGCGCTGGACGTCCTGAGCTCCGTCTGCAAGGTGAGACATAGCTGATAGCTGTGCATGCTGTACAATACAAGGTTCAAGGTTCAAGGCTTTTATTTGTCATACGTACATAGCTACAGTGTAGTTATGTCGATGAAAATCTTAGGTCACAGGCTCCTCCAACACAATAACACAGAAAAACAGAAAGAATAGTGCAAGTAAATACAAAAAAAATAGTAATAGTGCTTAGTGTGATGAAGCAGACTAAACTTTATGCAATACTTTAAAAATGTGGATTGATATTCAGCATTTATTTTTTCTTTAATCATTTATTTAACATAGGGTGGGGGTCTTAAAAAGTATTAAAAGTTGATAAATCAATTTTAAGGCGAAAATTAAGGCTATTAAAAAGTATTAAACGGCATTTTCCAAGGTATTACATTTTGTAGCTTGTTTTCAATAAGTATATAAATTGTCCAAAGAGGTTGTATTCTACAGTCTCCCTGAATGTAATCATTGCGTAGGTGTGTAGTGTGATTCTGTGTAGTTTATTTATGGCATCCCGTTGGATTTGACGTCATCTGAACAGAACGCTCACTGCTTGATAGTGCACGAAGGTCCGTTTACGCCGGTTGTTAAACAACATCGTTATGGGGAAATGCAAGTTTGCGTCCAAATGGTTGGAAGATAAGGAGGAAGGACAATCAATACTGTATATAGTCAATGTGAGGTAAAGTGTGTCGCCAATGTAACCGGTTAAAACTCATAGTGGCGATGAGGTCTTAACATGTATGGAAAGGGTCTTAAAAGGTATTACATTTGACTTCAGGATTCCTGCATATACCCTGTAACAGGGACAGTGCACATTAATCAACATTTCTATAAATGTGCGAGAGTTAGCCAAGAGCCTATTTTTCATCTGTAGTCCCTGGACAGATTTTGTAAGTCAACCTAAAACAAATTTCATTTCAAACAAGTAAATGCAATCAAATAAAAAACATGCAACATACAGTACTGGAAATCTTAATAAAAAAACCTAAATAGAACAAATAAACAAAACAAAATAAAACAAAACAAAATAAGAAAATGTTAAAACACAGGCCCAACCTTTGTGCTCTAGAAGTCCATTGCTTTGTTGCACAATAGCCTGCACACATATGAAGACGCGCAAACATGCTCCAGTTAAACCGGTAGTAGTAAACAGCTGTTTAGATTGCAAGTATTTCATTTTAACAGGCCTGTCAAACACACGCAATCTTGAAGAATGAGTCTCGTAAAATTCTGTCTATGGAAGTTTAGAATACCATAAGTGGTTACATATGAATAGAAAAACATTTTCTACTCTGATTAAATTATTCTTGAAGTGAAATCTGAGGATAGCTGAGATGGGAGATTGTCTCTGGCACTTCTGTAGATTTTTCCTGTGTACATACAGTAGAACGACAGTGTCTCAGATCCCTTCTTGTAAATTCTCCTTGCAATCCATCTCCTTTTTCTTCCTCGTTGGTCTCAGCCAGAGACGCGCTACGTTAATGACGTCTAATGATACGTATATGTTCCGCTCAAGGGTTTGTTAGAACACATGGGTGAAGCTGATTGACGTGTGTGTGTGTGTGTGTGGGCGTTTGTGTGCATGCGTCACAAGGAACTGGAGCATCTAATTCATGGCCCCTGTGTGTTACATGCATGTGGATATATGTGGATTATATACATGACTGGATACATATATGTCATTTTGTCAGAGGATGTCATGAGCTATAGCGTGTTGGAGTGGTAATGGTGCTTTGATAAGTGGGTTTAGAATACTATCAATGTGTTACAGTAGAACACCGAATAAAGAAGGTCAATAAGAGCGATTATGTTTTTCTCAAGTTTTCAACACTTATTCATCTCTCTCTTCATTTCCCTCCTGTTTTGTTGCAGACCCATAAGATAGACCCCTCTGGACACTACCTGCGCTTGAAGATGTGTATTGACAACAAAGTGCTCTTTTATGTTCCCACACTTGAAGAGGACATCTCTGATCTGGTGAGAACAAACACTGAAGCACTGTGTTCATAACTTGTGTTGTCAAGGAGTGCATTTTGGAGACTGAACTGATAATGAACCAGGAAACCAGGTCTTTTCAGCAGATATTCAATATCCGATTTGGATTGTGGGGTTCTTCAACGTATTACTAATTAATCTTTGTTTTATTCTAGGCATTACTTGATGCAAGCTTGTGCATGTTTTATGACTTGGTTGACAGATTTGATTTGCAATGCATATTCAACTCCCATGATGGAAAAGATGTACCATCCCATATGCTATAAATTATGCAAAATAACATTCTGAGTGTATTATGTGCAATATTATTCGGCTAAACAATCATTCTCATTGAATAAGACCTCACCTCTCTATTCAATCCCCAAAAATGAATTCTCTTAGCGACGGTGCTTTGTAGGGGAAACACTGAACTCTGTCTCAAAGCAAAGTCATTGTATAACTCGCTCTTTTTCCTCAAGAGGTCTTTTATCTCCCTGCTTTGATCAGTGACTCATTTCACCCTCTTTCATCCTTCGTCTATGATATTACTCCATCACTTACTATTATTTCTCCACAGTGAAAGCCATTACACACGGCAGACTTCTGTCCCTGTCTGTTGCTCGATACACACAGCTGTGTCTATGCTTTCGCCCGCTGAGGGGTCAAACCCTTCTCTGTGCGCCCACTCACTGCTCAGACCTGACCTGGATTTTGACCCCACAACCTTCACTTGCAATTGCTCTGTTAAGGAGCCTGAATAATACATGAATTTGTACTGAGAGCCATAACATGACCTTGAACTCCAATCCTTCCATTTGTAGCCAATTAAATAGCATTTTCTTGTGTTTGCAGCTCTACAAAGAGATTGAGGTTTGCCCCAAAGCCACCAAGGTGATCCGGTTCGACAAAGCCGAGTCCTGCACAATTGGATATGGTATGCTAGTCTCTGACAATACCCCCTTTTGAACCCTTTTTCTGCTCCGACTCTTAAATTCTGTATCAAATTGATTTCATAATAGACTTCATGAGTCATGCTTTGTTAGAGACTAAAGGGGACTGACCCAGTTTGAGTGCATTTCATCCTAGGTGGATCTAATTGCTCAGTAGTTATGAGCCAGCATTGCACATTGTCAAATAGAGATTTTTGAAAGAGTACTAAATGAATGAATGGCTGAATCTCTTATTGTGACTTCTTATCTATTTCTGCAGGTTTTTCCGTGGCAGTCATAGATGAGGAAGGGACGCAGCAGCTCCATATTACTGAAGTGAAAGCAGAGGGACTAGCCTCAGCCAAAGGTAAGCATTTTTTTAATCAACAAACAAACATGAAGTGTACTTTACTTTCAGTTCCTTGAGAGGTGATATTTAGACAAAGAAAACCAAACAAAAGTCCACCACAGTTTCCTTAGATGAATCTGAGTGCAGTGACCTCAGGGGTTGTGTAAAGGATATATGAAAGCTCGGTACATATTTCTCTCTTGAGTTGACATTGCAAACTCAACACTCGAACGCCTCACCTGCAAAACACCTGATCCCACATGACATCTTATCAGTGCAGCTTTGTGTGACGGCATCGCATCAGATACTGAGCCAACAGCTGAATCTCTTTTGATGAGAGACAGAGGCCTGCTTACATAGAACAGAGTAGAAAAGAAATGGTTGTCTCAAAAAGGCAGAGCTGCACACTTATTACAGATGCATTGTTTTTATTTTAAATTGTATGGATCAATGAGGATTTACAAGGCAATAAACATCAACTTGCAATCCAAAAAAAAAACGCAATCCATAGAAAGGTCATTCACGGCCAAGAAAGGCCTTCAACATCAGTCTGTCCACATGACAGCAACTACAAAGCAGAAAAACATCTGGGTGCTTGCCAAAGATACACGTTTAAAAGACTTGAATCATCTGTTCTAAGCACTTTAGTCGTATTACTTGTTTGTATACTGAAAAAGGCATTATCAAATGTGCCAAAAACCTACAAAAAACCTTGTATAAAAGCTATAAATCTGATTCATTCTTCTTCCTGAGTGCAAATAAAAAAATGCATTCCTTTGTCTGCATGGGACTGCTGTTTGAATAGCTGGGTCTGGAGATCAACCCCCGTTCGTTAGTCTCGATCTTTAAACAGAGCCCAGAGACCTAATGGGTTGGAGAAACACACGGCTGCTCTGTAGATACAACACTAATGTATAGAAAAATAACATGCCCTACTATTGTGCCCCAGGGTGAGACCAAGGTTACTCAAGTGTGAGATTGTGTCCTCCAGCGCATTAGCAATCTAAAAAGCTGCTAGCTAAGCGGGCAGAGGATAGAACCGCGCTCCACCTTCATAGGAGAGTAGAGATAGAAAAAAGCTCCCGGCATACACACAACACAATGCATCTTTTTTTGTAAGATTAGGCTATATTCTGCTGAATCACTGAATATAGTACATGTTCAACATTAGTAGGTCCGTGTGTACACTGGCATGTTCCTTTGTTTGCATGCACGCGTTTTTACTAACAGTGAAAAGGATGAATGAGGAGTGAAAGAAATCACGCTTCAATTTCTGCAGGGTATACGCAGAAACCAGGCCATCACTGGACAAGGAGCCCCAAAGGGTCTTTTCTCTCTCTCTCTCTCTCTCTCTCTCTCACTGTAATTCCTGCTCCCCCTCCCCCTTACAGAAGCATACACATAGACACACACATGCAACACACACAGCTAAGCACACATCAGCAGTATAAGGCCAGAGGGGTTATCTCTCTGTCCAATAAAGACTACAGCTGACATTTCACATCCCAGACAACTAGGTCATATCTTAGGGCTAAATGTGTGGCTATATATGTGACTGTGTGTGTCTGTAGCAGTCAGTGTACTATGAAAGCCATACCAAAGAGTTGTTCCACTTTTTTATCAAAGTAGACAATATAAAAAAGGGTAACAAGCAAACATGTGGTCGTGTGTCTTTTTTAATAAGCAGGTGAGACAGCTGTCACAACCAATCAGGTTCATCGCGGGAGGTTGACTGCTAATTGGTCGGCTGATTGAGTTCTAATTCTCAATTAGCTGAGGCGGGCACAGGTGGTCGAGGGGCGGGGCCAGAGAGAAAGCTGTGTTCCAGTGTGTTCCATGGTTTATCTTTCATACATAGCACCACAGAGATGATAGGACAGAAATAGACAGCATTGCACACTCCTTCTTAAAGCCATCCAGTCTCTTAAGATCAGCGTGCGCCTGAGGCGAACATGCAAAGAAGGATGCATTTTTAATGTTCTGGAACACATTGGAGACCCAACATGTCTGATTAGCCACAGAGCTGCTGTTGAGCAGTACGGCACTAAAGTATTGTTTGTGTAGATGTTTTGTACGCGTTAGCAATCTTGAGTTGACGGCCTGAAGAAAAGCTACTGTGTAGGATGGTTTACAATCCTTTCACTTCCTTTGCCTTGCTTTTATTGCTTTCAGCGCTTTCTGTTGCAATGTATTTCTGTCCATAATTAAGCCTTTCAGTTGTTCAGCGTTAAATCTGCAACGAACACTTCTCACTTTGTTTTGTCCCTTCATTCTCCACCAGGCCTGAAAGCAGGGGATGAGATTCTCTTGCTGAACGGTAAGCCAGCATCCGCGCTCCAAATGGACGATATGAGGTCCGCCTTTGCAAACCAAGCGCTGACCTTGAGTGTCAGCACCCTGCCCCAGATGGACCCTCGGGTGCTGTGCCCCCTTCCCCCCCGGCGCTCTGATGCAGAGCAGAACCCCACTACAGACATCTTCTCCCAGAGCCAAGGTAAAGCTCACTGTTCTACTGAAACAAAGTTGTGGATGCTTGGAGTACGTTGTGATAAATTGGGCTTCAAACTATGGCAACATTGATTTAGATAATGTATAGAAACAGTGTCCTCTAGTGACACATATAGTGAGTTTCTTTTTCCCTTTCAAATGATATCTAAATGTTGTTAATGCCATTAAATCCAGTTGAATGAGAAGAGCAGAAAGTTGACCTGTTAACCAATGTCAGTTATAGTGGTTCATACCAATGCCTCCTATATCTATATCTTCATAGCATTTAATACAACTGATTGAGAGTGATTGGTAGAGTCTTTTGAAATCTAAAATAAAACAATCCAATTATTTTAGGAAATCTGAGATTGCAGTGCTCCACTTTGTATATATTATTTCCCATTTCTCTTATGTTCCATCATACATCCTCTGAAACCCCAATTCTATGTAGCTGAAGAATACAGATGGTGTTTTTTTTTGTATTCAAGCAGAGGGTGAAAAGGGCGTTCTTCTAATTATGCATGGATGCAGTCTGATAACCAACCTGCAGGCAGCCGCCAGCTTTCCTCTGACCTGCTCGTTTTATCCGTGCAAGGGCAACATTTGTATTCCTTTCATAAATTGGGTCTTGCAGTGAACAGGCTGACAAGCTGGCATTGTTTATACAGGGACTCGGAGCACTATGAATATTAATATGAATCCTTGAGGAGTGTAGAGCTGTCATTGTGCAGAATATGCCATACGCACAGGGTCAGACGGGGAGTAAAAACACTTCGGCAGCCAAAGGGAGGTTATCTATGATATCATGCTTAAGAGGAGACGGGTGGACACAAAGGTGCTTCAACACAGAGGAAATACATAGGAAACGTCTCCTTGATACTGATGAAATAAAAGAGATAATATATGGTAAAGCTAGAGGTTACAGGGATATCTTAATTAACATAATTCTCACCAAAACTTAAAAAAAACCCACAAATGATGCTAGTAAATGCTATTTGATATGTTGTTTGTGAAAGCAATACTCAAGGGGGAAGGGATGTCTACGTTGAGGTTACTTTTGCATCAAGAAGGATAACCCGACACTCAAAGTTCTCTTTAACATCAATAAAAGTGTTAAAATAAATAATGGAATGCATAAGCACGGGTTGAAATGTAGATTATACAAAGTGGAGCATTCAAATTTCCATTTGAATGATTGGGTACACAAAGCTTTAATGTACACGTTTCCTCTGTCTCTGTCTGTAGAGGACATCCTGGATGAAGTGTCGGGGCTGACAGTGGAGAGCCCAGATCAAAGTATGGAGGAAGGATCTCGACTGACCCCGCAGAGTCCTGGAGATTATCAGGAAGACAAAACCTGCATGGGGACAGGACAGAAGGTAGGATATGGCATGCAAAGACACAGCTTTCAGATTAGTACAAACTCAGACATTTTGTGAATCAGAGCCGGGGATTATCAGTCTAGTTTTCAGTATCGAACACACCCTGTCTGATGTGTTCTTACACATACCAGCAGTTTTGGTGTCTGTGTGTGACTTGGGGATCAATGCTAAAAAGTGGCTAATTAGCTTCATTGTTGTGCTGCCATAAGTCAGCCTGATTACTTTTATCTAGCAGTAGTGTGCTTTATTTGACACTGTTTCTGATCTGAGATCTGTCAGACAGAAAAGGGCTTGTTGGTATCACTGACCAACACATTCTTGACTGTTTAAAGGAACACTGAGAGTCCATGTGTTTATGATAATATGAAAACCCTCTGGCAGGTCTTATCCTACATATTTCTTCACCCGTGTCAGGTGTTTTTTTTTCTTTGCGTAGCATGTAGCCAGAAACTTGGAAGATGTTCAGAGGCTTTTTTCCTCGTTTGTTACTGGTGACCTTTACACAAAGGCTGTTTTGGGGCTGAATTATGTGAGACAAGAAGTGTGCAAGTGTTCTGACACGCACACAATCACACACACACACACACACACACACACGCACACACACACACACAGCCATTACACCATATCTCAAAGATTCATAACCGCTTTTTATTGAATGATTCATTCTTACAGCATTTTTTGTATTTCTGTTGACATCTACAGTTTAACGTACTGTATGATGAATCTTATTCCTACATAAATAACACATTTAGTTTTATACACTACTGACAACATTTTACATGACTGTGCTTTGTGCGCACTGGTTGTTGGTGTGTGTGTGTGCCGAGATGGAGACAGAGACAGACAGGTGAGTGAAGGAGTGAGTGAACGGCATCACTGTCTCATTAAGAACATGTCTGGTTCGATCAGGGTCGGCACAGTGATTGCCTGGATACGCCTTGTGCCAGCCGGTCTCCCTTGGAAACGGTTGTCGCTTCCATTACCATGGCAATGTCTGATAACCAGTACCCACTGGAACCATTTTTTTTGGTACCACCGAGAAATGGAAAAAAAGGCGAGGAAGGGAAAGGGACAGCGCTGTTGGATTTGTGTCAGTGAGCTTCAGTCTCGAGGCGAACTAATGGGAGAGGTCAGAGTCCTGTTGGACTGTCGTACTTCTGTGACTCCAAAGTGCCATTATTAGTTGGGAGTTTGAAAAGATGAGAGATATCCCAACAGATAGGGTTGCAAAGAGCGCTGGATAGAAACGCGAGGTTGGCTTTAGTTTTAGTTTGTGCACTTGATGTGAGGAGAATATCCAGCTGTCCCAAACTTGTTTAACTCAACAAACAGTTTGTACCTCCACTCTGCTCCTGATTAACATTTAAAGGATTCCGCTCGTCTCAGAGTGTTTCTACCTGCAAGAGGAAATCCATTTAAATTCATCCAAACAAAACAACGGCATAAAACAAAAAAAGCAGCAGTTTTGCATCGTGTGCAGTTTAATCATTTTAATGTTTAAAAATGTTATGCAATGTTTCCAGTGCCATAGCTGTATGTTGTTTTATACAGTGAAGGAGACTCATTCAATTACCATTTTAGATGAGGGCACACTTGAGTATGCAAATGAGAGCAGGCTTCAAATCTTCAGCCAGCACAAAATCCAACGATTGTTTTTGTTTTTATTTAATTATTTTATCAATAAATAGGTTAGCTGAGGATGTAGCATCCCACTGAATCCAACCTGTGAAACACTGTTATTTAAGAAAGCTTGAGAAAGAGATTGTTTTTACCCTGTGATGATGTCCCTTGGTGTTTAATGCTTAGTCGTGTGCTTTGTGGTTTATTATCAGATGTTGTTACACGTAAATATAGAAGGGAAAGCAAAGGAAAACAGGGCTGTCTTCATCTCACCTTCATCACCTCCTGCTCCAATGTGCTGTCTGTTTTTCCCTAATTTCCATCTGTTTTCTGATTTACTCTTGTTTTGGCATCCTCCTTTTTCTCTTTCCTTTGTTCGTCCTTGGATTTATTGTCATATATTTTGTCCCAATAACTGAGATCAACGACGTTACTGTGTCCTGTTTCAGATTTGACAGCTCAGTGATTTTTCTTTGTTTGTCCTTTCTGATCATCCCGTCTCATTATCGTTGTTTTGAATGCTTTTTCTTTTCTCTTGTCCTTCAAGTTTCCTTGTGACTCCCTGTCCTTGTTTCCCCTCCTCCTCTTCCTCCTCCTCCTCTTCCTCCTCACTAACCCCCCGCTGTTCCTTTCTATAAACAACATGAGGCTGCTGTCTGTTTTTAAACCGCTCCGCTCCACACGCCTCCTGCGGGCCCTGACCTGAGCCTGAAGCACTTGGACCAAACTGGCCACAGAATCCCTAGAAACTTTTCCAAACCATGTTATTCATCTTCCTAAAATTGTGTTTCCCCCTTTTTTCCGCTCATGTTTATCACAATTTAGTTTCCCCACTATCCTCTTTTTGTGAAGCCTCTAAAGGGCTGAAGATTGCGTCTCACCTCATTTACCCGCTGCCTGCGGTCACATGGTGGTAAGACTGAGGGAAAAAGCGGCAAAGTGGGACAATTTTAATTATCCCACACTCTAATTACTTCATTCTCGGCAGTGTTTCACATCATTTAGTGGAGACAAATGAGTGTCTGGCTAGCCGGAGGAAACCGGGAGGTTCATTATTTTAGACAAAGCGCAGAGCAACCTCCTCAATATGATAAACCAACGGCGGTATAAAACAGTGATTGCTTGCGATAATAGAGATGACGGTGATTGCGCCTGTTCTCCAAGGTGTAGTCAGCCTCACTGACAAGTGCTGGTTATAATTTACAAACCTCTATCAGTTTTGCCCAGGGGGATCTGAAATGGGAAAAGCACTTTTGAGTGCATGAAGGGTGGGGGGTAGTTTTCATCATCTATGCTTTGATTGACTCCTGATGGTATAATTCAGCTTAAATTGCTCCTTGCATGCAGTGCATTTGTTTTAAGTAGTGACTGACTTCTCCTAGGTAAATTAAATACATCTATAATTTTAGGCTTAACATCTTGCCTCGGATCATATTTTTAAATAGCCCTTTTATTGGCCTCTTCCTCAGGCATAACATATTTCTGCCAGTTGTTGCTGTCATTTCATAGTTTTTCACTAGAGGGCGCACTGCGCTGATTCATGAGCCTGCAACACAAGAATAGTGTTTCTTATTCTGAGCACATAACCAAACAAAGATCGAAATGAACATTAATCAAGTGTGATTACTCGTATTGAATGGATTCTTTCAGTTCTCAGACAGTTTCCAGATTTGAATGGCACATCATATGTGATAATAAAACCTGCAGTTTAGATGAATATAAATGTGCAAAACTGCATTTTCTTATGTGCTGTTATGCATGCAGGGCTGTCACGACTGTTTTAAGGAAAGACAGAAACACCTTGCATTTCATATTCACATTTTCTTCACACTCATAACTTCCCAGAGCAGGTAGCATGCAGTCTGAACTGCTTTCAAATCTTTTATGCATAGATTTGTGAAGACTCGTGTCATAACATAATCATCCTTTCACTTCAGATTAAATGATTAAAGTCTCTCTGTCATGGCTTGGATCCCATCATTCCTCGCAGGGATTTATGGATTTGCATGTTTCCCTTATTTCAGATGAAACTGAACTTCAAGACTCCCCCTTCCTCCCCTCCCCCTCTCTGTGTTCACTGACATTGACAAGTACATGCCTGCTCTTGAGTATGAGTGCATGCCATCGAAATTGCTATATTCCTACGATGTAATACTGCAAGGAACAATACCCAAAGTGTGTGTGTGTGTTTGTGTGTGTGTGCCAGGTTATGTGGACATGTGTAATCTGTGTTTATCCCGGCTCTCACTTTACGTGGTTTCAGCTGACGGTTGACAGAGCAGGTTGGGGCTTGCCTCCCTGCTCCTCCCTCTCGCTGTACTCATGTCTCTCTGTTCTTTAGGGTGGGTCTATGATTTAGTATATTTTGTAAAAGAGTAAAGATTCGCCTCGGGATTAGGAAATGCCTGTGTTGGACTGACTAGATAAAAGGTATTGCTGCCGGGGATCTCTTTATTTACACGTTTATTTACGAGCATGTTTGTAGGTCTGTGTGTTCACTCGTACTCTTTTGCTGATTCATCAGACTAGATGTGTGTTATTGAAACCACGCTTGCATTTGACAAAAAGTTATGTATGCTTAACATTTTTTACAGCAACAAGCTTTTTTTAAGATCTATTTCAACTAAGATTTTGAGCAAAAAGTGCAAATTTCAATTAGTGTTCCTGTAAAAAAAAACAAAAACACATTGACCTTCGCTTGTATTCAACAGCAGTTACCTGTTCTTTCTCTACTTGACTGTTAAGAAAGTGTCTTATTCCCACAAGTATTACATAACTCTTATCTCTCAGAAAGTGAGCAGCTCTTGTGGTATGCTGCTAGTGCTCACCTGCTAGTGCTCACCCATCATTAAATTGGCGGTGTATTTGAAGCTTGATGCAATATATTAAGGTGTGAGAACTTGAAGATCCCGTCTGACCTGGATCCAATATCATTTATAGAAAATACCTCAAGCTGCTACAAGGAAGAAATGTGTGGCGCTTCATGGCGATTCTTATTTTGCTGGGTATGTTTTCATTTTAAATTGATTCCTTTCGATTGTGTAATCTTGCTTGCTTGAGTTGATACTTTCAGAGGCTCATTTTGAAAGATGAGGGAGCTCATAAATAATCTTTGTTTAACAACGCGGCTGTCCTTTCTGAAAGTGTGGCGACGTATGTCTTTCTGAGCTGCGATGAGAGATACCTGTGGTCTTTACGTGCTGTCCCCGTGTTTGGCTCTCACCACCCACTGCTTTCTCACCTCCCTTTCTCTCCTCCCTCCTTTCTCCTCCCCTCTCTTCTTCTGTCCCTCGCGACAACGTGATGTTTGATCTTGTTATCTAATGTAGTATTCTCCCTTTGCTGTTGCGGATGCTTGCAAACACCTGGACAGAAGTAGAAGACAGGGGAGCATGCAGAGGATTGAGAAAGAGACTGATAGGATAGATGCTTTTAGGATAAGGTGACATGAGAGCGCTGCTGTTTATTACAATCTGTTTTGACAGATTTGTTTAGCTGCCACATTATAGATCTTTCCAACAGTAATGAGTGTTGATTAGCAAAGTATTTACTCTTACAGTTTTAATCAGTTTGTTTGGACACGTTGAAGATCAACACATCCTGCACAGTAGTATCAGCTGTACATTTTGGAGGAAGATGCTGTAGAAACTAATCCTCCTGGCACTGAGGAATCCAAACTTCCTGGAAAGAAAGGACAGGAACGGACACCTGACTTTTTGTTGAACTCTTGTCTGACCTGCCAGCATGTCAGCTTTTAAGAAGAGCAGGAACTCCGGACGCTCGACAGAATCCGTCTATGATATGTTACAGCTGGTGAGCCTCGGTGTGTGTGTGTGTGTGTGTGTGAATGCTTGTGTTGTGGATATGATCTTGCAGAGGTCACTGATTATGATGGTGCCAACAGTGCTGAGGCTAGAGGTTCATACCCAGCAGGAATAATTCATGTCAGAGTTTTGACTGATCACCCATTGTGATGGCATGGACTTTAGTGTTCAGATTTGATCTTATTAATCAAGAATCATTGTGCTGAAAATCTAACAATTGGCATTTTGGGTTAAGTGGATTTGAAATGTTGAATGCAATGAATGATACTTGAGCATTGCTTATCTTGAATTTAATCCGTAAAATAAAGAATTCTAATTACTGACTGTTTGGTATTTCTGCTGCCCTTTTATTATTGGATTGGAAAGTTGTCATCACTTCTTAATTAGTAGCGATGGTAAAGCACTATGCACCCTCTGTGTGAATCTCCTGCTGTCATCTGTCTCTGCTCCATCTGTCACTCGGCTGTCACTAATTCCTCTGGCTGTCAAGGGCAAGACCGAGCTTACAAGTGGCAAGACTGCGATGGCATTGCTCTGTTTTTGTGTTGAAAATGATCCTTTCCGTAGGCAGTGTTTCTGGTTAGTCCCTGTATCAATTTCAGACTCAATTAAAATCAGTGCGTTTGTTTTTAAGGAGGAAATCTTTAATTGTCTGCAATGCAGATAGTTCTTTGGATGCTGACTAACCTGTGAGTGATTTATTGAGTGTTATGGTTTCCTTCTCATGACTGAGAGAGCTCATCTTGACTTGATGGGAAGAATTTCAGTATCAGCAGGTCTGTCAAACCATGTGGGTGTGTGTGTGTGTGCATGTGTGTCAGCGTTGCGAAACTGGTTTGAATACCACAATGGAAAATTGTGTTTGTCGTTGAAGCTAAACCGGTGACAAGCCATGGAATCAGAAAAGACAAGCCATGTCCCCCTGCTCACCAGCTGGCTGTGTATCAGCCAGCACAAACACACAAGCAGGCGCAGTGTGTTGTCACGGATAACAACTAATAAACACTTTAGCCGACTACACACACTCTAGGGATGTTTGTGTGAAATACACTCGCAAAGATAGTTAAATTACACTGATGACTGGCAGGTTGAAGTAGAATACCACCAAACTGCTCTGTGTTTTCTGAAGCTACAGATTGCATCACCTGTACAAAATGTGTCTTACTGTATCTAGTCTTACCAGTCTGTGATGCTTTTATTATGTTAGTCTGAAATGTCAAATGACTAATAATTGTCCTGCTTTACCAAATCATTTCTTTAAAGGATTATTTTATGAAAGGAGTTTTGTTCAGGCGAACATTAGGTGTTTCAGTGTTGGTCTAAGACAAAAGCTATAATAAAAGACATGGCGTATGAGTCATAATTCATTGCCAAACATTTCAAGAAGAATTTATTTTCTTATTATTTATTAAATCGACTAGGATTGGCTGAGTATGGATGGTGAATGATACACACGCTGTTTCAACAGACCTCACAATCCTAGCAACAACAGCCTGTCTGCACTTGGCCCCTAAAAAATCATGAAACCACAGATTGACCAATATTTTATATAATTCAAGAGGTAGTGAAAACTGTGATCGTTTGAAGGTAATTATGAAATGAGGTTGCAGTAGTTGAAAACATTGATAACTGTTGTTGGTATTTTAGAAATAGGTCTTGCTGTATTGCTCAGTGCTATTCATATTTAACTTCCAGCCTCTCCCTTGTTGTTGACGCTCCTATGTCACTTTCAATTTGTTTTCGTTCTCTGGTGCCTACGCTCTGTTGCATTGAACTTCGCAGCCTTGGGACTATGAAAGAAGCCGCTAGAGGAGGACATCTAACTATTTATGTTTGTGCGTGGGTTTCAGTTTTTCATTCGTAAAGTACTGCTGCGCATCAGGGCGGAAGATGATGCAGCTGAGCTGTTTTTCCAGAAGTTGTTGACCTTCACTTTGCAGAGTCTATTACTCGATGAGACGCTTTTTAGCTTTAAGGAGGGCTGCAAATCTACTGATAGTGGTCTACAGAGCCAGAGAGAGGCTGAGGGAAAAGTCCCCGATTTAATTGTTTTCATTAAACGTACTGCTGTACCAGTTTGGCCTTGCAGGTCTGATCGTGCATGGTATTTGTGATACAGGGATGTAAAAGGTCGTTGTTATAGCAGGTTTTGCAAGTATGAACTGTATGTGTTGGTGCTTATTTATATGTATGAATATTAGTGCCCAGTACGTTTTATTCTTTTTTTGTATTAAACTTTACATGCGTCCAAATCCCATACAGGATATATTTTATGTTTTCATTAACACTCAGGAGATCTAACACGTTTTAACATGTCAAATATTCACTAATCGCAGCGTAATCCAACATAAAATGAGCCCTAAAGAAATCCTAAGAATGTAAAATTTGACATGAACTTTGTCTCTCTCTTTACAGAGCACGGAGCAGGTCACTGCTTTCTGCCGCAGTCTCCATGACATGAATCCACTGGAGTGCCCTATGTCATCCTCCTCATCGTCGTCTTCGTCGTCCCTGTCCCCGAGCCCCGTGACAGCTTTACCCCCCGCTGCCACCCAGAGACAGCTCTCCCACGCGGACAAACTCCGCAAGGTCATCAATGAACTGGTGGAGACGGAGAAAACCTATGTCAAAGTGAGTGAAAGCTCTCTTTGATTAGTTGAAGACAATCTTACCAGCACAAACTGATAGCTGTTGATTCTAATCTGTATTTGTTTGAGGATAATGGACACAGAATCTGGTATTGCTCTGATAAAACGAAAGGTTTCTTTTGTTAACGTGTTCAGAACTTTGACATACCTTTTGTGCCATGGTTGGTTTTGTTCCTGCCTGTGAGAACTGAGTCATTTCTGTTCTTTAAATACCTCAATAATGACTCCACATGAAACAGCCTTCACATGAACAGACACCCACGCATGCCCTTCCCCATTCCTCCTTGAACATCTCATCAGAGGCTCATCGTGTTCTTGTCTTTTCAGGACCTAAACTGTCTTATAGAGTGCTACTTGACACCTTTGCAGAAAGAGAGCTTCCTTACCCAGGATGAGGTAATTTCCACCTCATCTACATAATCCAAAAATCAACTCTTTATGAAATGCTGTCATAAATCCCCCTAAATATTATACATCTGGAGTTAGTAGCAGTTTCTGAATGATGCTTTGTGTGTTGCAGCTGGACGTTTTGTTCGGTAACCTCGGGGAGATGGTGGAGTTCCAGGTGGAGTTTCTCCGGACGCTGGAAGATGGGATCCGACTGGTGCCAGATCTGGACAGACTGGAAAGAGTGGAGCATTTTAAGGTGGGGAAGGATTTCTCTTATGTTATCACACTTAAGGGTTACTTCAAAAAGGTGCTCCTTCAAGATATTTGGCTCACGGTGTTATTGCAGTTGTACAGACGTGTTCGCCCTTCCTCCATTTGTCCTGGATCAGCAGTGAACATTAAGAATTTTACTGCTGGGGGCCTCCTCATCATACTCTTTGAAAGGATCAAACAGAGTTGAGACGTGTGCTAATTTGCAATCGTATTTCAATTTTGATAGCATGACATGCTTGTTTGTCTTCACAGAAAGTGCTCTTCTCCTTGGGGGGTTCCTTCCTGTATTACGCCGATCGCTTCAAGATCTACAGCGCCTTCTGTGCCAGCCACACAAAGGTCCCAAAGGTGCTGGCTAAAGGTAAAATATGCACACATTCTTGACTGGTGAGACGCAGGGAGCCACCCAATGTTCCTTTCAGTTGAAAAGTACAGAAAAGTGCAGTACAGAGGGCGAGCTGCAACTAGTCTCAGCACACATTGAGGCTTAACCTTTACAGACTTACTCATCACACCATTGAGTGGCTTGGAAAGTAAAGTTTACTTCAGCATTTCCTGATAGTTCACTTGAATGACACACACAGTCTTTCATCTTAAAGGTCACCTATTATGCAAAATCCACTTCTTCATGTCTTTTCTACATCAACATGTGTCCCCTCTGTGTGAAGAGATTCTGAAAGTTTCAGGAAAAAAGATTCTCTCACTTTTTGTCCTGATCCATTTATATAAAAACCTGTCTGAAAATGAGCTGATCAGATTTTGGCTACTTTATGATGTCATAACGATTTTAGCCAATCACCAACCAAGGTAACAGGTTTGGAGCCAAACACTTCAGAGACATGTTTTGTATATATCTGAGACCTATAATATATTGATGAAAAACAGTAATAATAGCGGACCTTTTAAGATGCAAGTTCTTTGCAGGTATAAAGGATATCTTTTAGATGCAGCTTCCTGTATCTGTTTGTGTTTCTTTGCCTCCTTTTACAAAATGCCTAATGCTCATATTTCTGCTCCTCCGCAGCAAAGACGGATCCAGATTTCAAAGCTTTCCTGGCTGAGAGAAACCCCCGACAGCAACACTCGTCCACTCTGGAGTCTTACCTGATCAAACCCATCCAGAGGGTCCTGAAGTACCCGCTGCTGCTCAGAGAGCTCTACTCTCTCACGGACCCCGACAGCGAGGAGCACTACCACCTGGATGGTAAGCCAGTGTCTTTGTTTATTATTCACTTGCACTTTTTGACACATGGAACTAGATATAGATTGTTGGGAAAAAACGGAATGTACTCTTCCAATATCAGAGTAGCACATGATAAAAAAGGCCCTACGTAGCTGTGTACGTAACAGGATGTATGATTACCCAGAAGAGCGTCAGGACTGTTTTAGGCATATGATAGCTATGTGATTAACATGATGATTCGGCCTCTATGGAGATAGACATATGACTGTCATGTTTATTGCGTACGCAGGCCTTAGCTAATCTGAACTAAACATTGAATACTGCTTTGAACCGGTATTCTGCATCTTGTGACTGTAACACTCTCTTGTATATCAGCATGTGAAGGACACTATTCGGGGAACTAATTGTCCCATGCAACCTCTGTATGTGATGACTTCTTCCATTCTTGCAAGGATAATAAATTCATGTATCCTGATTATTGAAGACCAAGCCGGTGACGAGTGATATTTTTCTAACAATGATGATTAATGTTTGTCCCGTTCAGTCGCAATGAAGGCCATGAACAAAGTTGCCAGTCACATCAATGAGATGCAAAAGCTTCACGAGGAGTACGGAGCGGTTTTCGATCAGCTGATCAACGAACAGACTGCGCATAGAAAAGAGGTGAACATGATGAAGCCTATTTTATTCATGTTAATCCATATTCAATCCAAAATATTATTAAATGGCTTAAATTCATATTTTACCATGTGTTTGACTTATCTCAGGTGGCGGACCTCTCCATGGGGGATCTTTTGCTTCATTCTACGGTGGTGTGGATCAACCCTCCATCCTCCTTGACCAAGAGCAAAAAGGACCCCGATTTGGCTGCTTTTGGTAAGGCTTCATGTGGATTTAGGATGATATTGCTGAAATTATTATGCTTTATCTATATTAGAATTGACTCAGTTGAAATCTTGTTTACATGTTCAGCTGTCTAAACAGCACAAGACACACATCTACCACAACTTATGAATATTTATAAGTGTTGTTAGATTTACTTAGCTGTATCCAATGCAATCAAATGATACATCCTTGGGGTAAATCCTTTATGTCAAATGTAATAACATAAGGATATACCAACAAATGCAAAATATAAGCATTGGGTTAAGTTGGTTCACAGCGTAGAGTACACTTTTTACTTATGTTGGTGTTCATTTTAAGTCTCTTCAATATAAGTATTTACAAAATAAATGATGACATCAGCTTTTTATTGGTCAGCACATTATATAACTAGAAATCCTCTCTCATGCAAAGGATCACACGGACAGATGATCTGTAAGGCGCTCATCCTCGTGTATTAACTATTAAAACAGTGTGGGATTTATTCTTTTAGATGAATAAAACACATTTTCCATATACAGCAGATATGCATTCACACTTTTCTCAGCAGAAAAAAAAGAGCAATGCTACTATTCTGTGCTCTGGAAAAACACTGCATACTGTATCTTAAAACTTGCAGGCATGCACCACTTAACTGTATCCTACTGAACACTGCCATGCATAGTGTGACACTCGGTGCTATTTCTGATGGTGAGGAAATACACTTTGGTAAAAGGAAAACCCAGTCGGGCATATAGCACAAGGGATCTATTTTCTTCCTTTTCACGTGAAGAGCAGCGTGTAATCCTTACATTAAAGGGGTGACATGGTATTCTCACACACCCAGGAGTGCCTTCTGTCTAAAAATGCTACGTAGCTCAGACACGTTTGGCTCTAATGTGACATCTACATGCTATAAGAGCTTTTCCTGGCAAGGCGTTAGTGAGTGGAAGAGGGTGCTCCGTGCATGCAATCTCGTGACTTTGGTCCAATTTCATATTTGTGCTGCTGATCGCTGAAGCGTGCCACCAGTTTGAGGCTATTCTTCCTCAAAATATGCAAACATGTGAAAGTGTCCATTTTATATGCTGCGTCAAGTTGTCACTGTAGTTAACTTGGGGATCAAATATGTGTAATGTGTGAATGCTGACCCTTCTAATGGTTTCCATCTCTCCCTTGTCTTCATTTAGTGTTCAAAACAGCGGTTGTATTTGTGTACAAAGACAGCTCCAAGCACAGGAGAAAAATCGTAAGTATTTTCCCATTTCCTGGTGATTAATCTAGTCAGGGAAACACTACCGTGCAGATTGGGACTCTGGGCTTTCCCTGAAGTGCTTTTTGAATTGCTTTTTCGCGATGGCAAAACAAATTATGGATGTTTATGTATTTCATAAATGGACAATAGACTGAATGAGGGTTCTTATTGGAATTGAATACAAATACAGATTATGTTTCACCACCATTCTGTCGTTGCTCTCTTCTGCTCTCTGCTGTAATGTTGACGTATTGCAGTGGTTCTGTATTAGACATTTACCCAGTGTGTATTTCTCAGGGTGGATCTCACCGAGCGTCTGTGAGTGACGACAAAGACCCTTTCCGGTTCCGTCACATGATCGCAACGGACTCTCTTCAACTCCGTGCTCTTTCAAGTATGTATTTTTAAATACAGTAACATGCAGTCAATTATATTTTTCATCTTTCGTCCCCATTCTTCAGGTTTTCTGAAATGTGAGGAATCACAGAAATTAGGATTGCTGTTGGGGTCAGTTCTAGTTGAGTGAAGGGTCAATCTCATAATTTGTTTTTACACACAAAATCCTCCTAGTTGACTTCTAGAAAACTACTACATTCATTTTGGTATACAAAAAATAAGTATTGTCTCACTGACCCGATTTTTCATGATCGGAATAGATAAGCTGTAAAATCAAATACCTTTGTATTTATTCTATCTCTGAAATATGTATTACACGGAAATTGAAATAGAAAGACAAAACATTTCAAGCCGCCATGTGGAGACTTGCATTTGTCTTGTCCCGAAAGCATAGTCTCTGACCTGATACTTTCAGTCAGCCAGGCGCCTCCATGATGAACGTCTGATCAGTGAGGAAACCTCTGAAGGGATTTTAGATAGATTCATGTATTACACATCATTCTGGGAGAATTTGTTTAGAATCTGCACCAAAAGTCTGTGTTATTAATCAAAGTTAAATGATGTCCTCAAGAGGGAGAAGTTGGAGTATTAGTATTTTATAATGTGCTTGAAGTAGATCTTAGCTTTTTGTCCCCAATAGATTTGCTCATTGCCTGAAAACACACAACCCAAGACCTAATCAAAATAAAAGTATTCTGCAGACCTGTCATCCCAAAACACAGAAGTTTATTCTAATGACTCAATCTAGACCGTGTCTTCTGTGGCTCTTTTGTCAACTATTTCCAACAAAATAAATATAACCTTTATAAATAAAACAGATGGATACCTATTACTGTAGTAGGCCTGCATGCAATCTTCCTTACATTTCTGTCCTCAATGGAACTTAAATCACCCTCGGGCGATCCAGCTAAAGTGTTATCGTTTATCTGCCTAATGGCCTGTTGTTAAGGGGGGAGAAATTGATGTTGCTTACTGAATGCTTTTAATAAATCTGTCTTTTCCTCTTCCTCCTCTCAGACTCTGAGGGAACAGCGGTGTGTGAGATAGTTCACATAAGATCTGAATCTGAGGGGAGGCCAGAGAGAACCTTCCAGTTGTGCTGCAGGTATGAATTAGTATTTTCCAAAAACTGCACACATGCATTGGAAACATGTGAACTGGAAGCAGAACATAGAATACGAAATTACCTTTTCTCTAGTGCAGGGGTGTCCAAACTACGGCCTGGGGGCCATTTTGAATCGGCCCTCAGAAAATTCAAAAAGTATAATGGAGTATGGCCCACAAATGAAACTTGTGCTTGTCTTATATTGTACTTAACTATAAATGTAAACATATATTACACAGTAGTATTCATGTGTTAATAATAAGACCACTTTTCAAATACATTCAGTCAATTAAAGTTGGAAACATTTTCTAACATATCTTAGTTGATAAGAAAAAAGCCCAATGACTTATTTACATAACAAGCTTGAAATACACCCTTCCTATTTCTCCTTATTATAATCAATCTGAGGCTTCTGTTTTAAGGGATGAGCTGCCAACACTCACAAGCATCATTGACCTACATTTGATTGATTTTGCTAACTTATACCTGAACTTATGAGGCAGTATACCTCTAGTGAGTGGCCCAACCCTTTGTATATTTTTCTGTATGTGGCCCTCGGTGAAAAAGGTTTGGACACCCCTGCTCTAGTATGTTGTCTTTAAGTTATTGTGTTTTTCTCCAATCTGCAGTTCTCCAGATAGTAAGAAGGACTTCCTGAAAGCAGTCCACTCAATCCTCAGGGAGAAGCAGCGCCGGCAGCTCCTGAAGACGGAGTCTCTGCCTCTCAACCAGCAGTACGTCCCGTTTGGAGGGAAGCGCCTGTGTGCCCTTAAAGGGGCGCGTCCCGGCATGAACAGAGCAGGTAACAAAGCTTAGGTAAAGCTTTTAGTTCACAGCACAAGAGGGGCCAAAGATGTTTAGTACATGATATTCACAAAGTAAAACATGTCTCTTGTCGGTTCAGAATCAGCTCCATCACGGACGCTGCCCCGCAGGAAGCTGGTGAGGAACCGCATCACCATCGACACCGACCTGATCTTCCATGGCAACAACAACAACAGCACTGATCCAGAGACCACCCACCACTCCTCCTACCCATCGATGTCCCAGCATGCTCTTCCTCAAACCCAAAAACCTCAAGGGGAGGACACTGACCGCTGGGTGGAGGAGCAGTTCGACCTGGGTTGCTATGAGGACCAGGGTATGGTGAAGGAGACGGACATTTTGAGCGACGACGACGAATACTGCAAGTCTGTCCGAGCAGCGTCTGCAGAACCGTCCGACCTGGAGGGAAAGATGGAGAGACTGGAGCTACAGGGCGGAGAGATGACGAGCCACAACCTGAACGGACGGGTGGAGACAGGAAGTGAGGTCATGCTGAGCGTGATGCAGGAGGAGGAAGTAGAACGGATAAAGCTGTGTGACAATTCAGGCTCCGTAGACTCTTTCTCGTCCTGCGGGGTCTCCATCTCCCGCTGTTCAACCCCAGGTCTGACGCTCGCCCCCCTGAAGCAGTGTTCTGTGGAGGGGGCCTCAAACAAAGACCATGATGTCATCTGGGTGCGACGGGACGACTTTGGTAACGGGTGCAACGGTGACGTCTTCTGATTGGGAATAATAGAAAGAGGAAGAAAATGAGCCAAAAGGGTGGTTTATTAAACTTTTTTTACATAAAGTAAGAGTGCAAGAAAACAGGGGACAGATTGAACACAAGCTTTAAATATGTTGAATTTGGAGGTATTCGTGTATAGGAGGAATTTAACCTCATCCAGTCCTCCCTGTGTTGCTACACAACCCCCTTCTTCCCACCTCTCCTGCATCTCCCTTGTTCTGACAATCCCAAAGTGCTGAACCACCGAGCGAGTGAGGGGAGCTTCTCATCCCGAACTGCTTAAAAGTGAACCCAAAAGAAAACACGGTCCTCACTGTTTTTGGATACCCAAACTTCACATAAACCTCTGGAATTGTATGTGAACGTTTGAAAAAGACAGCACTGCATGTGCACGCAAGTAAACAAGCAAAGTGTGTGTTTGTACACTGTCAGTACACAGGAGCACAGACACATGTACCGTGCACACATTACTGAAGAGACGTCATCACTGAACCGGGATCTTCTGGCCAAAAATGTCTATTTTTCAACACAGGAATGTGGGTGTTATATTTTTCTGACTCAGAAACTGTTTGTATTTTAACACTCAAAGGGCTGTGTGTTACTGAACTTTCTTCAGGTGCTTTTGGCTAAACGACTGCTGTGTAAAAAGATGGTGAGATCCAACTAGCTTTATCGTGCTTTTTAACGTTTTAACTTAATATCAGCTGCACATTGATGTCTAGCCAGGAGTACAATAGAGTGCCGTTAACCTCTTGTTATGAAAATGTTTTGAAGCTCACTTTTGTCTCCTCGCATATCCTATTTGAAAGAAAGTGTACCTAATCTTTATTTAATTATTGCCTTTTGACTGTAACTTTCAATGTTTACACCACACTCGGCTGCCCAGTTTTACAAACCACCTTTTGTGTGTTTGGTGCCAGAAACAAGCTTGACGGAGCCGTCGCTCGTGACCTTCACATGAATGTCCAGCCTATGATTTTGTTGCTCTAATAAAATGCAGTTGTTATTTTGTTAACTCCATCAAGGTCATCGTTATACTGGATTCTTCTCACCCCTGAGGCCTCCTCATGCTCCACATCTTGGTTAATAGCATTATAATTCCTCCAACCATCCTGTTTTACTTGAATTTTCTTTGATGTTTTGAAAGGAGTTATTCAACAGAACCATGTTGGTGACTCCAAGGAGAATCAAACCGTTTTCCTCTGATCTCATCTCCTTCTCTCTCTCCAGCTCTTTGACCTTTGTCATGTCAGAAAGCATCACAACCACAGAATAGCTGGTCGAGACAGACTTCACATCCATGACATTTATCATCAACCCCTACTTAAGTCCTCTACTGCATTTCTTCCATTCTCCACCAGGCTGTGCTGTTTCACTTTATGTTTTCACAACACGCTGATTGCTGAACAGTCATGCGCACCTTAATGGATGTATTGAACATGCACTTAATACCCTACTGTGAGGGGAGGGGGGAATCTGAGAGCTACTCTGATACAGAGTGTGAGGAGAGTGGAGTAGATAATACACTTTGGATGTTTCTTATTGTGTTTTTATTACGATGCTGGTTTCTTAGGTTTTAGCTGTCTGGGTGACGGAGCCCAGCAGAGACGTTCAGACTGTGAGGTACAATCACCTGGCCTTGGAGGCAAAATCCTGTGAGACCCCCTTTGACTCCTCCCTTTGTACTTTTAAAACTGTGTTCGTACATAAAACTGTGGAGTATTATCAATTTTATGTTAAAATAAATTTTCTAAATTTAGTTTTGTGTGAATGTGCTTTTTATTTGTCGTATTACACACTTGACTGAAGTCAAGGGGTGGCATTCCTTTATTATTATTATTAGATTACATGACATTTAACTGCAGCTTTTATTCAAAGCATCTTGCAATACGTGCATTAAATCACAAAGCTTCAAACTCGGAACACTATGAAAAGTGCAGATATATTCGCTTCAGACAAGCCAGACCCTTGTAAGTGCTGGTGCATTAGTTAAAACTCTTAAGTCCTTTTTTATTATTTGTTTTAGGTAATAGCCAAAGCCTTCTTTCTCCAACCCTGATACAAAAGCAGAGCTAGCTTTTTGGCTGACATCATAAACACCTCATTTGGGTTATCGGAAAATCCCATTCTGTGGAACAAAAAATCCTGATTCCAGGTGCTTTTTAAAACTCAATTCCAGTATTGAATTGTTTTGCCTTCAATTTGAGGATTGTCAAATAATGAAAAAAATAACTACAGATCTTTTTCCTTAGTATAGAGGTTACAATATAAATATGTACAGTAAAGTAATAACAAGAAAACATTTAACATATCCTGAATTGCAAAATGTAGTTTAAATAAATCTGGTGATCCAGTGTCTTCAGTTTCTATAGAATTCTGTATTTTTCAAAATATATTCATTTATTGCATTTAAAGGGTTAGGGTTAACATTTAAGGGTCTTCTAGCAGACATTGACATGCAGGGACTTCACCAGAGAGACCTTCTGCTCAGTATTCAGACCAGTTTAGCGCCGGGGCTGTTGCCCAAGGTCTCCTTCTGGAGAGGCTGATGGTCATTTCCTGAGTTAATTAAGTTTGTCTATAGTCTGTTTTGTCAGAGGTCCAGGTTGAAGTTGGCAGCTTTTTTTCTGGAGCTCTCTGGCTTCGAGACAGTTGACAAACATGGTGATAAACCAAATGTCAGTTCTGACGTAATGTCTTGAGGAGATGAAGAATGTGAGTTAGCCGGCCCTTTGAATGAATCTATGCCTTTTTCAAATGCCACGGTATCACACAACCGTCCAAAGTTAACAAACTACAAAAACCCAAAAGTAAATACATGTCACGAGCTACTAAAATCCTTCTTTCATGCTACTCAAATATTTATAAAAAACATGAAACAAAAATATGTATTCAGATTGTTCTCTTTAAAGATACAACAATGTGTTTAAGTCTGAGCTGTTAGAGCACATCTCTTACTCCTTTTTTCTTATTTTCTTTAAATCAGTACAAAAAAACCATTGCCCTGTCCTGTATTTGTTATATGAGAATGGGAAGGCTTCCAGTGACCTACTCAGATAAGACCTTGTCTGCAGTGAGAGATAATCTGGCATCTGCCCATAACCTGAAGATTATTCTCCTCTCATCAGGACCGGTGGAGAGCCGCTGCCAATCCATCTGCTCCTTAATCCATACCGAATACAGCCAAACCATCCAGAGATAACCGGACTATTCAGTGTAAAAACTGGTATTTCAATTAAAAAAATGAAATATAATACAAAATATATATATCTCAACCACTTTTGGTACAAACAGCCCAATTTATATAGTAGAAGTACAATAAAGTCTGGGTTTCAACTGCCATGATGGAAAGCTGCTATAGACCAAGTATTATGACCTTTATGATTATGAAATACAAGCATACCGGCAACACACATAACTTCACTTCTTTGGATAGAGAAAATAACTTGAATTTTATGCAATTAAGTGTATTGTTTCTTTAAAATCTCACCGCCCAGGTGTACAATCTTTATTTTTATTTTGAAAGGTCGTACCGGAAATGAATGCTTCTTCATCGTGTTATCGCTGATCCGCGGGCTCTGCCTTCAGCTCAGCCTCCTCGTTGGACCAGTGCATGAAAGTAGACGTGCTCACTACTGTTTACCCACAGTTTTTCCACAGAAGATGTGAATTGGATTGATTTCGGTACAGGAAAGTTTTGATCCACGCTCTTGATGCTTCTTCGTTTCTTCTGTGCGACATCCTGATGCAGAGTGGAGAGCATTTCATTGGGAATAAAACTTGGGTTGTGCGCTGGCATGATGGCACGGCAGGTGTCTCTGCGCTCGGATAGAGGCCGTGTCTTCCTGTCATGGTGTCAATGCCCGCGGTGAGTTCCCTGGAGCACAATGGAGGAACCAAAGAGACTTTTCTTCTGTCTTCTCTTCGCGCTGCAGCTCTGTCTGAGCTCACCTCAAGTCCTCAGAATAGGTAAGAGCAACAGCTGTTTACGCACGGTGTGGATGAGTTGAACCAAGAGTACTGTATTTGAGTTTATTGTTTGTGTCACATAGGATCACATCTTATTTCATCTCTGTATTTAATTCAGTAATGTGAACAAGTTTTTTTTTTATCCCCTCATCCATTACGTGTCGATACGCATGAATTTAATTATAAGCTTACTTGTTGTTCTTATTCTCTGCGTTATTCTGTCATTGGTGATGTGTCACAACAGGGAAACATGTCACCTGAATCGAAGGACAAAACAGACTTTGTCAACTTCTCTCCCTGCTGGTTAATCGGAGGTAAAATATATTCCATCCGTTAATGAGTCCGCACATTCAATTACTGTGCGCATTGCAAAGGTCGTTGCAAGAGTCTGAAATACATTTTATCTCAGCTGAAACTTGTGGGGGATCCACCTGAGCTGCATACATTTAACTCTCATTTAAATATTAATCATCCTGGGAGTTTTGAGTCTCGCTGGTGATCATAATTTGATCAAAATGCCATTGATAAAGGGACATTTATTATGATAAATAGTTCAATTCTGCCCACCTTGCCATCAGAGGGTCTATTTGAGGCTCGTGCAATACATTAAAATGATCTAATTTAAATGTTAATCTGATTTTAAACTTCATTATAGAGGATACTACACACACACACACACACACCCATTAAGACACAGAAACAGTCGAAAGGGATAGATTATTGATTCCTCTCTGTGTAGTCCTCCGCTACTTGACACTCTTATTTAGGCATTTTCATTCACATTATGTCCCCCAGCAGCTGATTCACAAACAGCTGAGATCTATCCATCAGTGAGATTGGTGTAATGTAGGCAGTCAGGGCGATGTAATCATCCTCAGTCCTGTGTGTAGTGGATTTAAGAGTGGGAGAACTCCTCCAAGGCTTGATTAGACAGGAGGAGGCTGTGTTCATTACCCAAGCCTCTCCTTTTTAGGCTTTGAATCAAACCTGAGTCAAACGGTATTGTGAACATAATTGACTGAATTATTTTTAGAATTGGTATCACTGCCACTTGTTCCTAACTTGAAGAGGTACAGGCTAGAAGAGGATCTATGCTAGTAATCCTGGATTGGATACAGGAACATTGGACTGGAGTCTGGACAAAGGATATATCGAGATTTCCAAATGCCAATCCTTATCCATCTTGTTTTTTTACACTACAAATCATGATTTTGCATTTCTATTTGAATATTTATAGTATTTAACAACACAATAAGGCATCTGTTCATAACGAAATACTGTACATACATTTAGCCATGATATTCCAAAATAATAATAATTTGAGCTTTTTAGGTGAAAGTTTCCTTTGTTGGTTGTGCCTTGTGACAAAATGGCTTTCATACTTTGCTTGGATAATTAGGGGGGAAACTGTGTGTGGGTGGGAGTTCTGATAATAGCAGAGCATTTTCATACATGGTTTAAGAAATAAAAAATACTCTGTTTTGATAAATGATAACCTTGAGAGCTACTCTTTGTTCTTCTTGGAAAAATCCATCTTTGAATATGCAGATGTATCAAACGTTTAATTGCAGGACAAGAGATGTTGCTTACTTGCACTAAGTCATATTTTATAGTGTTTGTGCACTGATTTATCTAAACATCATTCTTGTGTGAGTTGTGTATCGGACCTCAAATTACTTCCGAGTCATGGCTGTAATGTCACATGGTAATTTAAGAACAGCTCAGAGGAACGTTTCCCCTTCAGCAGATTCATGTTAAAACAGCCTTTTAGTGTCAAACTCTGCACATACATCATGTTGAACAGTGAAGGTCAATGGAGTTCTGAGTAGTAGCAATACCCAAAACTAATTTCTGAGTTGAGGGTGACTTTAAAGTGCTGGCCAAAAGGAAAAAGATTACATTGAATTTCAGAGGAAAGAGATCAGTGAAATGGTTCTCACTCTATCAGCCCATAATATTAATATACTTATCACTGACCCAGAAAGTATGTTTGTTTGTTCTTACGCAAAATGCATGACATAAGGAAATGTCTGTAAAGATCATCCGCAATTTGACCAAGTAATGTTTAAGCAAGATGAAAAATAAACATGTCTGTACTTTTTTTGGGCACACTAGTACATTTTGACCTTTTTTACTTACCAAAAATGATGTTTCACCCTTTCTGTATTGCAATGTCTTTGAAGCTTTTGGTTGAACATATTGAATATATCTGTGATAAGCCTGGATCATATGATATTCTAGACAAATGTTTTTTTACCAGCCATAATTCACATTATAAGCTGTTCATCTTGATTCAAGATTCAAGGCTTTTATTGTCATTCGTACATATATAGCTACAGTGTAGTTATGTCGATGAAAATCTTAGGTCCCAGGCTCCTCCAACAGTGCAACACAATAAAACAGATAAAATAGTGCAAGTAATACAATAAAATAGAATAGAGTAGTGCCATAAGAGTCGATATACAAGTGATACTTTGTAAGTTACAAACAGGTGAATGTTTAGCATCTTGATGTATATATGTATTGGTTCTCTTTTCTAGCATGGGCAGCATTTGTTCATTTGATCTGGTGCACAGCTGCACATGCAGAGGGTTTCTCATCTGGAGTTTAGCTCTGGGTCACACATTAATATTCAGGACCATTCAAGAGCAATAAGTTCAGCTTTGATGGTTCAGCTCTCCTCTCAGATTCACTTGAACAAAACTCTCCCCCTAAAGATTTAAATACACAGACACTATCAGTGACTGTGAGTGTGTGCGTGTGCATGTGCATGTGTGTGTCAGAGAGTGA